GTCAAAACACAAAGGATTTAGAAGTTATACTTGATACAAGAGGACCAGGGAGGGAGGATGAGCTCGAACCCAGGTTTAATCCTGGCATCACGTTTTTCCTGCGCATCACTGGGGGAAGCCCTTGATGCCCCAGAGGACTGCTGGGGTGGCCCTGAGGGTCCTTGGCAGTAGAGGCCTGAGTAACACCACTGAGGGTTCTAGCTCTGAGCCGCAGACCCAACTGACCAACTGACCTGGGTTCCCTGAGCACTGCTTGGGAGCACCTACCAGATTAATGTTAAGAGTGAGCATTCTTGGGACTGGAGCCATAGCACAGTGGGTAGGGTGTTTGCCTTGTATGCAGCTAACCCGGGTTCGATTCCCAGCATCCCTTATGGTCCCCCGAGCACCACCAAGAGTGATCCTGAGTGCATGAGCCAGGAGTAACCCCTGTGTGCATCACTGGGTGTGACCCAAAAAGCAAAAAAAAAGAAAAAAAAGTGAGCATTCTCATAAGAATGAATACTTTGAGCCAGAGCGATAGTACAGTGGGGAGGGCCCTTACCTTACACACAGTCGACCTGGGTTCAATCCCCAGCACCCCATATGGTACCCTGAGACTGTCCAGGAGTTATCCCTGATCACTTTCAGGTATGTATTCCACACCCTCCCCCTGCCACCCCTACCCCACCTGCAAAACAAAAGAGTGATTACATCTTCCCATCAGCAAAGAACCATCTTTAAAAAGTAATGTTAGGCAGGTCCAGAGTCATAGTACAGGGCATTGGCTTTGCATGCAGCTGACCAGGTTTGATCCTATGGTCCTTCAAGCCCTGCCAGGAGTGATGCTTGGGCACAGAGGCAGGAATAACCCTGAGAACTGCCAGTGTTAATTAGAAACAAACAAAAGTAAATAGAGGCCAGAAAGATAGCATCAAAGATAGGGTGCCCACCTTGCATACGGCTTGCTGACCAGGGCTCAATCCCCAGGACCCCGTAGCTGAGCACCTCCAGGAGTGATCCTTGAGCACAGAGGAATAAGCCCTGAGCACTGTTGGGTGTGGTCCCCAAACAAAAAGTAGCCATAGAAAAGTTTTAAAAATTGGCAAAAAATATCGATGTAAACACAGCTCAGATGATCTCCCCCAGATAAAACAAAACTGAATTTAACTCGTTAAGAAGAGTGTCCATTTTACAAATAGCTAATGACTTAGTAACTTTTAAAAAGAGTCTCTTAAATTGTGCCTGAGTCAAAGAGAACATAAAAAGTGTAATTAAAGGCAACTTAGAAATTGTGCAGACAGTACATTTGTCAGCCTTAAGGATGAAGACAAAGCTCTTAGGAAAAGAGTCCAGCTACCCAGGACTATAAAGAGAAAAATATAATCTAGTCAATCAAGAAGGAAAACAACAGAGTGAACGATTCTAATATCTTTTTCTTTTAAAGCACCTATAAAAATACCGTCACGTTCAAATCAAGGGAGAGGGAGAAAAAAACAAGGCAGTGTAATTTGGATCAAGAAACAGAGCTAAAAGCACAGAGGAGGGGAAACCCGGTTATAAGAATAGAACATGCAAAGTTTTGTACCAATAAGTGGGACAATCAGAGTGCACAAAAAATATTCAAGTTGATATTTTGCTAGGAAACACTGAATAAGGGGGCTGGGAAGCCAGTACAGAGGAAAGGACTCTTGCTTTGCACACAGCCGACATGGGCTTGATCTCAGGGACCTCATATGTTCCCCTTTCAAGAGTGATCCCTGAGTGCTGGGCCAGGAATGATTCCGGTGGAATGCCAGATGTGGCCCAGAAACCTGAAGCGAACAAAAAGAAAATCTAAATAACCAAATTTGAAGGCAAAAGTAAAAAAACCTTTAACAAATAAAAGAAAAAGTAAAAACCTTAAGAACTAAGCAACCCCATGAGAATCAGAAATAAAAAGTCTCTCTCTTTACCCAATAAACGGAAAACCTATAAACACGCACAGTGGAAAGACGGAGACAAAAGTCCCACTGTTTGCAGGTAGTAGTTGGCCACCTAGACAAGGCAGAGACGCTGGAAAGCTGGCCTAGAGAGGAATTCAGCAAAGTCACCGAAAACAAGAGGAATATTCGAATCACTCACTCTCGGGGATGGTCCAGGGAACTTGGCTCGCACAAAGCTGTCACTCAGTGTGGCTCCGGGCCCGGACGTATCTGTGAAAGGCTGATTCTGAGTCCCCACTGCAGTCCCGTGGCTCAGAAACTGCATCTTGGTCTTTCCTGGTGATTCACATTCAAGTTGCTGACGTTCTGTGCTCTTGGTTTTTCCCCAGGCTGGGGCAATTCCAGTCTCAGCTCACTCTGCCTGCTAGAAATCGATCGATGGGCTGGGTGATGTTCAGCCACACTTGGATGGGCGGGGCCAGCTATTGATTAAATAACAAACAAACATTCCCACCCACCCCAGTACCACCAAGTAGTTTTCAGCGGGCCAGTTTTTATCATCAGGCTGATTGCTTTTCCTTCCTTCCCCCCAGTCACCACTGCTTCCCACAATCGTTAGCAGATAAGGCAGATTGTAAGTTACAAGTCCTTTCTTCCTAAGTGCAGTGTGTGCCTCTCCTGGATAAAGAAGGAAAAGGAAGGAAAGATAAATCCCAAGTCTTCCAGAATGTAATCCAAGGAGAATACTGTTAATCAGGAATGACCTGGAAAACCTTTAGGGGATGCATACGGGCCAACCCTTTGGGTCCAGACACTGCACGTTGTGCATTAGCTGCACCAGTTCCCATTCCAGTCCTAGGAAGCTAATGTACCCACTTACTCTGCAAGCAGGGAGGAAGGAAGTGAGTCTGGGGGGGGGGGTGGCGGGAGGGGGGGGAAGTTACTTGCTCAAGGTCTGCAATTGCTCGGACCACTCACTGATGTGATACTGTGATTCAGAGATTTCTCTTTTTTAAAAAAAGTTCTTTTTGTGTGTGTGTGTGTGTGTGTGTGTGTGTGTGTGTGTGTGTGTGTGTGTGTGTGCCCCCACTAGTACTTAAGGCTGCTCCTAACTTTGCTCAGGGATTGGTCTTGCATGAAAACCCTGGGATCCAGCCCTTTGAGCTATTTCCCCTCTTGGGGTACTTTTTCGAGCAGGTTTCTTTTTTTTTTCCTTTTTGGGTCACACCCGGCAATCAGTGATGCACAGGGGTAGCTCTTGGCTCATGCGCTCAGGAATGACCCCTGGCGGTGCTCAGGGGACCATATGGGGTGGTTGAGAATCAAACCTTTGTTGGCTGAGCGCAAGGCAAACGCCCACTGTGCTATCGCTCCAGTCCCGTCGGGCAGGTTTCTTAACCTAGAGTCCAAGGATGGAAATCAGGGGAGTTGTAACCTGGGGTAGAGTAACACTTCCTCTCTAATTTTCAAAGTCTGTTATTGAAATTTAGCAGTTTCTAATTGTCAGTATAGTCAAAAGAGTGCAGTAAAATTAGTAGTACTTGTGAGTTCGGTGCAGAAAATGTATCTCAGGTGTATGTGTGTGTGGTGTGTGTGTGTGTGTGTGTGTGTGTGTGTGTGTGCATAAGCAGTGCCAGAAATCAAACCTAGTGCACCAAAACATTGTTTGTAGTTTCTTTGAAACAAACTTGTTGTCAGCTCTATTGCTAGGTCTGATTATTTAATGGGGAAAATAAAAATGGAGAAAAAATTTTAAAAGTCACTGTTTTTTTTCCCTTCAGAAATTTGCTTTATGGAAAGCACCGTGAATTACAAAGTTATTCATAGTTGGGTTTTTGATGTACGGTGTTCTATCACCGATCATGCCACGAGTGTCAATTTCCCTCCACCACTGTCTCTAGATTTTATCTTTCCACAAAATTTTGTCTTTCCCCAGTTTTTATCTTTTGACGGTACCTCCCACTGTTAAACCGGGCCAGGATCGCCCCAGAAGAATCACATGAAGACAAACTGTGACACAATTAGCAGAGGGTCTTTATTGGCTAGCTCAGCTATCTCGAGCGAGGGCCCTCGTCTGGCTCACCAACACAGTGGCAGCCTTCTTGGAACGAGCAGCCCTGAGTCTCCAAAGTGAGGGGCTTTTATACCTTAACTTTACATTACAGGGACTTTCTGCAGGCTACCCTTTTGGCCAGTCTGGGGGCTTTCCACTACTTGTGCTTAGCTAATTGGTTATAAGTTGAAGTTACATCTGGGTTGCATAAGAGTCACACAGGGGTTATATGGGGGGATTTCCCTACCTGCATCTGATTGGTAACCCTTGGTAACACTCACCATGGCTGTCTCACTTAGGGGAAATCATGGCTTAATTCCAGGTGTCTGCGCTCAATTCCAGGAATTCTGCAACCGAAACCTAGACCTAGCTTCTTCTGCTTCTTCATGAGCCTGTCATGGTGCTGCCTTTGCTTCCCTATCTCTCATCACATCGATGTATTTTAACCATCCTAGTATTTTGTATTAAGCACTTAGACATATCCTTCAGAAAAGTTTTTCATGGTAGCTGCCAGAGGCAGAAAAATGTGGGAGGGGGGGAGTTAAGACTCTTTTATTTTTTTGCTTTTCTTTAGGTCACACCCGGTGATGCTCTGGAGTTGCTTCTGACTCTGCACTCAGGAATTACTCCTGGCGATGTTTGGGGGACCCTATGGGATGCCGGGGATTGAACCCTGGTTGGTCATGTGCAAGACAAACACCCTCCCTGCTGTGCTATCACTCTGACCCCAGTTAAGAATCTCTGAGGTGGGGCTGGAGTGATGAAACAGTGGGGAGGGCATTTTTCTTGCATGCGGCCAACCCGGGTTCGATTCTCAGCATCCCATATGATCCCCTGAGCACTTCCAGGAGTAAGTAATTCCTCAGTGCAAAGCCAGTAGTAACCCCTGTGTATCGCCAGGTGTGACCCAAAGAGAAAAGGAAAAAAAATCTTTAAGGTGACGAATTTCACTCCTATGTTCTGCCCTGAGTGGGATCACTCCATCTCCAGCCATCCCCGCATCACCTGCTAGGTGAGTTCCTGGATCTTCCGTCTGATTCCAGGCTTTGCTGCAGTGGGCGGGCTGGACGGCCTGCAGGAGAAGTACTTCTCGGCGGTGGCCAGCAACCGCAGCGAGAACAGCAGCTGTGGGCTGCCGCGGGAGGATGCCTTCCACATGTTCCGGGACCCGCTGACGTCTGACCTCCCATGGCCCGGGATCCTGTTCGGAATGTCCATCCCGTCCCTCTGGTACTGGTGCACGGATCAGGTACAGGGGGCCATGCCGGAGTGTCCTGCCTGGCTGAACTTGGGTTTTAATCCCTCTCTCCATCTCTTCCCTTTTGTCTGCTTCTCCCCGCACCCTGACCGTCCCTCCTTCCTCCTGCTCTGTCCGTGATCTTACTTGACTCCTGCGTGGGGAAAGCTGAGCTCATCCTCCAAGTTCCTGGAAGCAAGAGACGTGACTTTAGTTTTTTGGTATTTGTTTTATTAATTTTGTGTGTGGGGGGGTGTTGCAGGAGGGGACCATACCTGGGGCTATTGCCACAAAGTACTAAAGGGTTTTCCCCAGGGAGCCTAGGGGACCATAGGATACTGGGGAGTGAGCCAAGGGTTTCTTCTTTTACTTTTTTTTCTTTTTGGGTCACACCCAGCGATGCTCAGGGGTTACTCCTGGTTCATGCATTCGGGAATCACTCCTGGCAGTGCTCGGGGACCATATGGGATGCTGGGAATCGAGCCTGGATTGGCCGCGTGCAAGGCAAATGCCCTCCCCGCTGTGCTATTGCTCCAGCCCCTCTCTTTGTTTTTCATATTTATTTATTTATTTTTTAATGTAGGAGCACTGCTATTTAATCAATCATGGATTAAGCTGATTGAATTGGGCATGAACTCCACATTGCTCTTTCTTAAATTAAAAAATGTTTTAATTGAGTATTTGTGAGATAGAACATTACAAAACTGTTCATAATTGGGTTCCAGTCATACAATGACCCAGCACCCATCCCTCCACCAGTGTACACCTCCCACCACCCAGCACCTATGTCCCCTATTTTCCTCCCACCATCCCCCAGCCCCTCACCCCCTACCCCCAGCCTCCCTCTAAGGGAGGCCCTTTCCTTCTTGCTCTCTCTCTCCTTTTCCTTTTGTGCACGATGGTCTGCAGTACGGCTGCTAAGAGGTCATGGTGTTTGTTCAGGGCATTCGGCATTTTTATAGGGATGGGAAGGCTGGAGTAGCTTTCAATAGGAACCCAGAGTTTCTGCGTGGAGAGCAGGTGTTATAGCTCGGACCCCTCTCCCTGGCTGGAGAGAAGCTACATTTTATTTATTAAGCACTGTCGTTATTTATTAAGTACACCAAACGTCAGCCAAGCGGCACAAATGCTAACCGACTTCGACGTGAGTGTGGAAAGGTCGGATTACAACTGAATCTCACAAAGACAATGTTCATGAGAAACAGTCTTGTTCCTGATGTTCCGTTCACTCTCAACAGAACCACCATCTCCGAATGCAACAGTTAAATATACCTAGGTCGAGAAGTCAACATGACAAATGACCTGGCACCTGAGCTTTGCAGGAGGAAGAGAGCGGCTTGGAATGCCTTCAAGAGCGTTGAAGAAATAACTAAGAGGACAAAGAACCTCCAGCTACGAGCTCATCATTCGATTCCACTGTTCTTCCTGCATTAACATATGCCTCAGAGACCTGGGCCCTACGAAAACGGGATGAGAACACTATTCGGGTCTCTCAAAGAGGAATCGAAACACCTATGCTTGGAGTATCACATTTCACTCAAATGAGAGATAGAATCCGGAGTTCTGATCTCCGTCGACGATCAAGAATCAGGGACGCTGTCTCATTTGCCAAGGCATCAAAAATCAGGTGGGCTGGACACATAATGAGGTTTAAAGACGACAGCTGGACTAGAGGCATTACTGACTGGATTCCACGGGAAGTCAAAAGATTGCGTGGACGCCCACCTACAAGATGGTCAGACTTCTTCGTCAAGACCCTGAATGATCGCTTTGAGGCTCTGCATGTTTCTAGAACAAACAGATGCCATTGGGCTACGCTAGCACGCAACAGGGATGAATGGAGACGTTACTGGCACCCGCTCGAGTAAATCGATGAGTAATGGGGTATCAAGTGATCAAGTACTGTCGTGAGTGGCTCTGGCCCTCCGAGCACTGCTTTGGGAGTATACTAAGCACCCTGGAGAGGGGCAGATAAAGAGGAGTGCTCCACTGCTGAAACTGGGATGCATAGGCAGGGTGACAGAGCAAAATGATGTTGGAGTCAGGCTCCTGAGTGGTTAAAGGAAACAGCAGGAAACAAAGCTGGGACCAGGACAGTGGGTGCCATGTGCTCTGGCCCTTTAAGGGAGAAACCTCTGCGTCCCCTCCCACCTCCCCCAACACTCTCTCTCTCTCTCTCTCTCTCTCTCCTCCCTAGCAAGTCTAAGGTGGGAGAGAGAGACCTGGCTGACAGGACAGACCTGGCCTCACAGCCTGAGCTTTATTTATGTATTATTTTTTTTAATTTGGGGGACACATGCAGCGATGCCCAGGGCTCCTCCTGGCAGTGCTCGGGGGGGGGGGGGCGGTCAAGCCTGAGCCTCCTTCCTGCAGTGCAAGGGCTTTGGCTCTCTGAACTGCCCCTGTCTGACCAGTTTAGCTGGGAGTTTCAATCCAAGACTTGGACTCACATCCTGGCCAACTAGTCCGGAGACTGCTCTGCCTCTCAGCCTCTCCTATCTGGTCTGGAACCAAGAGGTTCAAGACACGGGACCATGAGGATCTCATCTTCATCCTTTTGTTACAGCCATTACAAATTTACACTGGGATGCAGAGATGGAGGAGAGGGAGGGAAAGGGGGAGGGGGAGGAGGGAGAGGGAGAGGCAGAGAGAGAGAGAAAGAGAGAAGGAGAGGGAGAGAGAGAGAGGGAGAGGGAATGTGTGTGTGTGTGTGTGTGTGTGTGTGTGAGAGAGAGAGAGAGAGAGAGAGAGAGAGAAAGACCCCTCTGGGTACGCTGGGTGTGCCCCCCAAACAACAACAAAGTACAATTGATTTATCTGTTTCTGTCTTTGTCTCTCTTTCCCTCCCTCCTCCGTCTCTGTCTCTCTCTGTGTCTCTTTTCCTCTCGCCCTCCCTCTCTCCCCACTCTGTCTCTGTCTATCTGCCTGTCTGTCTGTCTGTCTGTCTTTGTCTCTCTCTGTCTCTCGCTGTCTGTCTTTCTCTCTCTCTCTCTCTCTCCTGGTTTTCTTTTCTTTTGAGCTAATGTCTGCAGCCTGCAATACACTCAGCAATTTGGGGGAAGCCTATACATTTTTGGGGGGGTCTTTCCTTTGCCTTTTCTGGGAAGAAATTCCACGGAGATCTGCTCTGGGTCTGACGAGTTTCGACGTCTCCATCTGCAGATCCTGGTAGCCAGAGAAGGGACTCGTTTCCTGTAGAATTCTAGCAAGCCTGGGAAAGGAATGGGTGGGAAGACAGGGTCGGGTTGTATCTCTCCCTGGGAACCCGGGATGGAGACGAGGCAAGAGGCCTCTCAGCTGCTGTCTCCCGCAGGTGATTGTTCAGCGAACGCTGGCCGCCAAGGACCTGTCCCACGCCAAGGGGGGCTCATTGATGGCTGCCTACCTGAAGGTGCTGCCCCTGTTCATGATGGTGTTTCCCGGCATGGTCAGCCGCATCCTCTTTCCGGGTGAGAGGTCACTGGGGGGAGAGGCCGTCCAGGAGGGTCGGGGGAAGTGCTCCAGACACAGGGCTGACCCGCTGCTGTCCCTACAAGGTCACACGGGGATGTGCAGGGGTCAGTGGTCAGGAGCATCCAAACTGTCCCCCTCCAAAGAAAGCTGGGAGAGGCAGGGACTGCTCCCTCTGGGAGGAGACCCTACAAATCACTGCGGGCATTTCCTCTTCCTGTTTGTTTTGGGGCCACACTCAGCAATGCTCAGGGCTTCCTCCTGGCCCTGTGCTCAGGGTTCACTCTTGGTGGGGCCCAGAGCCCCTGTGTGGTTCCAGGGATTGAACGGGGCTTGGATGTATACCAGGCCCACGCCCTAACCCCTCTTACCATCAAAAGCCGTAACTCTCTCTCCAGCCCCAACAAGTCTTGTTTTGGTTCGGTTCGGTTTGGCTTTTGGGTGGCAGCTGGCAAAGCTCAGGGGTGACTCGTGGCGCTGTGCTCAGGAATCACTCCTGGTGGTGCGTGGGGACCACATGGGATGCCGGGGATCGAACCCAAGTGAGCTGTGTGCGAGGCAAGTGCCCTACCTGCTGTACAATCTCTCCAGCCCCCAATCAACCAATTTTGTATCAGGGATACCAAAGGGGTAGTCCTCAGAGCAGGGCACTGAGTAAAACGCAGATTCCCAGGCAGGGGGCAGGGACTCTCTACTTGCTTGGGCCCAGCTGGAGATGTAGCTCGGCAGGAAAGCATGGGAAGGCAAGTGCCCATTCCCCAAATAAAATGTTATGAAAGAGCAGGTATGGGGATAAGGTATCTGCCTTGCACATGGTCACCCTGGCACCATGTATGACTACCCCTCCCCCTCCCCCGCCCACCCCAAGCGCTGCCAGGAGTCACCCCTGAGAACAGAGCCAGAAATGGCCCCCAAGCACTGCTGGATGTGGTTAAAAAATTTTTTTAAAGGGCATAATACAAGAAGATTGTGTTAAAAAATTAGATACTGGGCTGGACTGATAGTACAGCAGGTAGGGCGTTTGCCTTGTACACAGCCGACCTGGGTTCAATCCCTGGCATCCCCTATGGTCCCCTGAGCCCACCAGGAGTGGTTCCTGAGCACAGAGCCAGATGTGCCCCCCCCCAAAAAAAATAGTGATAGTGATAATATTTCCCCCACGACATTAGGAAGTTTAAAAGGAGTCAACAAAGCGTCTGGGTCATAGCAAACCTTGCCTGCATTTTGCGTTTGGAAGGATGTTGTGTGCTCTGCTAGAGGTATCTTTTATCCAAGCACTGGAGAATTCAGCGGAATCCCACCCGCTATATGAAATAGTCGATGATTTAACCCGCTGCAAGCGAGTGCGTGTAAGTGAGCTGTGGTTAATGACCCCGAGGCCCTGGTTTCCTGTGCAACTTCGCTGAAGCAGCCAGCTAATTGCTATGATAAACCTATTCTTCGGAGTGAGTGAACACAACATACTCTTCTGCTGCAAAATCAGGGCTTGTCACGTCACCCCTGGCCAGAGGCTGGAAGATCAAACAAACACTGGGGAGTTTCTTGTTCCCCCTCGCTGCACCTTGAAGGAAGTGATTTGGAGCCGAGAGGCATAGCCCAGAATTGCTGGGCAGACCTTTCCCCCAGCTCCAAGGCTCCCACTTGTCTCCGGGCCGCAGCAATGAAGCTGCCCCTGGTATTTGGTATTCGCCCAGTTTTCTTGGGAAGTCCCTCCCAAGTCAAGAACTTTGACCTTCAGAAGGTTCAAAGTTCATCCCTCGTCCCCCCATTACAATGGTTCCTTCTCAATATTTTTCACCCACTCTCACTTTCTTTTTCTTTTTGGGGTTACACCTGGCTATGCTCAGGGGTTCCTCCTTTCTCCTGGCTCTACATTCAGGAATCACTCCTGCAGGTGCTTGGGGGACCCTCTGGGATGCTGGGGATCCAACCCAGGCTGCTGCGTGCAAGGCCAACGCTCTCCCTGCTGTACTATCGCTCCGGCCCCTACTCTCTCTTGCGCGCGGTAGTCTTCATTCTATCTGAAGGAGCCAGGGTTTGGGGGAACGGCCACATTCATCCCAAATCAATGGCTCTTTGTGTGATTCCCCTCCCCATGGCTGATGCAGAGTTGGAGATCTCGGCCTGGGTGGCCAAGAGTGAAAGGTGTTTTACAGACTTTAGCCCTTGGGCTTCCCAAAGAACGGAAGGGGCCCTTTTCACTTCTTAGCTCTTGTGCTACATTGAAAAAAGAAAATGAGGTGCTATAGAGGTAGCACAGTGGGTTCGCCACTGGCCTGGCACTCCGAGGGGCCTCTGAGCCCTGCCAGGAGTGATCCCTAAGCACAGAGCCAGGAGTAAGGCCTGAGCATTGCTGGGTGTGGCCCCAAGCCAAATAAAAAGGAAGAAAGGCATCGCTGAGACCTAGTCCCTCCTGCAGAGAAGAGGCAGGGAGCTGGGAGTGGACCCATTAGCCATCAGGCGCTTGAACACATCCGCAGCTGCGCCCAGCTGTGTTGATCAAATGCATTCGACTGCAAGCTGGGGGCTGGAGCGATAGTACAGAGGGGTGGGCATTTGCCTTACACGTGACCAACCTGGGTTCTATGTCCAGCATCCCTTAGGGTCCACTGAGCACTGCCAGGAGTAATTCCTGAGTGCAGAGTCAGGAGTAAACCCTGAGCATCGACAGGTGTGACCCCAAAAGCCAAACAAAAAAGCCCCAAAAGCACCAAAATAGAGACAGGCAGAAAGAGGGAAATTTAGTGCCAGGATGACTGGGAACTTAGAAGTCCAGAGTGAAGAGGACGCTGTGAGCTCTGAGCAGGCTCTGGGGACAGGAATGTCACAAACGTGGGGCACACCAGGGCATCCTGGCACCTCTAGGGAGAGGCGAGGGGGTCTGTGCCAGCGGCTGTGTGTCCTCTTTCAGAGATGGGGCGGGGGAGGGGGAGCACCAGGGATGGAGTCTGACATCTGATGCTAGCAGTGAGCTGAACTGTCTCCACTCTTTGGGGAGTGCAAGAAGGGGAGCCAGTGCACAGCTTCCGGCCTGCTGGGCCCCACAGTACACGCGATAGCTTGTTTGTCCCCATCAACACTCTCTAAAATTGCAGAAAGCAAAGTTGCCTTATGGTCCCTCTTTGACGGCCCAGGAGAACCAAGGAAAATGGGCCTGGAACAGAAGTCGGGCTGCTTTTAGTCTAATGGTGTTACGGCCCCGGGACCCTGTCAGACTTCTGGTGATGGACTGGGTCCCACTATGACGTGGCTTAGTGCTTGGCTCTAGGCTGGGTCTTTATTTTTATTTTTTATTTCATTTTATTTTTTGTTTTTTGGGTCACACCCAGCGATGCACAGGGTTTACTCCTGGCTTTATACTCAGGAATCACTCTGGCAGTGCTCGGGTGACCCTATGGGATGCTGGGAATTGAACCCGGGTTGGCCTCGTGCAAGGCAAATGCCCTACCCACTGTGCTATCACTCCAGCCCCTAGGCTGGGTCATTTAAAAAGTTTTTAAGCTTTTAAATTTGATCAAGAGTACTGATGATGGCAGAATTTCATGCAAGAGACATTCCAACACCACACCTTCCACCAGTGTCAGCCTCCCTCCACCACGTCTCAGTGCCCCCTCCGCCCGCCCCTCCCAACACACACACACACACACACACACACACACACACACACATCCTATGATCTAGATGCACCGTCAATAACCCAGTGCCATTGGCCAAACACATGGAAGCAAGGACAAGCAAATGGGACTGCACCAAGCTATGAAGCTTCTGGGCTCCGGGCTGGCTCTGGCTAGCTCAGCTCTGGGCTCCGTCTCTCCGCAGACCAAGTGGCATGTGCCATCCCCGAGATCTGCAAGAAAGTGTGTGGCAACCCCTCGGGCTGCTCTGACATCGCGTACCCCAAGCTCGTGCTGGAACTCCTGCCCACAGGTGAGGCCCCCTGAGCCCCCGAACCCTGACTGGGCCGCGCTCCAAGGGAGGGGCATGAGGAGGGGACGGCTGGGAGGGGACAGACTCCAGGGCTGAAGGGTAGCACCCCCTGAATAAAGCTGAGGGCCTGGGGTTCCACCTCCCCAGAGCTGGTCTCTGGCAGGAGCCAGCCCTGGGTCCCGCCGGAGGTTGGTGGCTGCCGGGGACAGCCTGAGGCCATCGACTTCCCTTTGCCTCCAGGACTCCGCGGGCTCATGATGGCTGTGATGGTGGCCGCGCTCATGTCCTCGCTGACCTCCATCTTTAACAGTGCCAGCACTATCTTCACCATGGACCTCTGGACTCACTTCCGGCCTCGGGCCTCTGAGAAGGAGCTGCTGATTGTGGGCAGGTGAGGGTCCGCTGGGCGCTGCCGGGCAGGGCGGCCAATGTCCGGAGTCCAAGGGGAGAAGCAGAGTCCGGCCGGCGACCTTTCCCGGCTGGCTCAGTGTGGGAGTAGGGAAGACATGCAGCGGGAGATAGAGAAGGGACCACCAAGTAAAGGATGCTCGGAGGGCTCGCTCGGGATGGGAGATGTGTGCTGAAAGTAGACTATGGACCGGATATGATGGCCACTTGGTATTGCGAACTATAACACCAAGAAGGAGAGAGAGAGTAAAAGGGAATGTGCCTGTCACAGAGGCCAGGGGGTGGGGGTTGAGGGGTGAGTGGGGTGGGGGTGGGGGGGAGGGATACTGGGAACATTGGTGGTGGAGAATGGGCACTGGTCGTGGGATGGGTATTCGATCATTGTATGCCTGAAACGTAAGTACAAAAGTATGTAAGTCTATAACTGTATCTCACAGTGATTCATTAATTTTTTTTAAATGTCAAGAAAGGGTCTGGAGTGATAGCACAGCGGGGAGGGCATTTGCCTTGCATGCAGCTGACCCGGGTTTGATTCCCAGCATCCCATAGGGTCCCCTGAGCACTGCCAGGAGTAATTTCTGAGTGCAGAGGCAGAAGTAGCCCCTGTGCATCGCTGGGTGTGACCCAAAAAGAAAAAAAAAAGTCAAGAAAAAAAAGAAAGAAATTGGACTCCTGTGGGAAAAAACTGCATTTCCTGCGGTCTAGAATGACTCAAATAAAACAACAGTGCATTTGCTTAAAAAAAAAAGCGCAACAGTTCACTCCTGCAGGACCGGCTCAGACCCCAGCACTGGCGCAGACTCTGTTTTTGCCTTTCTGGAGCCAGTGGAAGGGAAGGATTAGTGGCATAGGGAGGAGCCAGCCCAAGAAGGGCTGTGGCCAGGAGGAGCCCTCGGCATAAGGAGTCCCCAGCCCCGAGGATCAGAAGCCAGAAGCCGAGGGATAGATAGGAAGTGGGTCGGAGGGAGGGGGCGACTCAGGGGTGCAGCGAAGGTCACCCTCTCACGGCTTCTGCAGAATCCTGATCCGCACTGATAAACAGGTTGGGACTTTGTCCCTCAAGAACATGCACCCTAAGGCAGGAGAGATAGTACAGGGGCAGGGCATTTGCCTTGCACGCATGAACTGACACCCAGGTCCCCTCCCCAGCACTGCATAAAGGTCCCCCGAGCGCTCCAGGGCCCTGAGCACAGAGTGAGGAGTAAGCCCTGAGCACCACGGGGTGTGGCCCTAAAACCAAAGAGAAAAGGCCCTCCCGTTGATCGTCGATTTGCTCGAGCGGGCCCAGTAACATCTCCATTGGAGACTTTGTTGTTACTGTGTCTGGCATATCGAATACTCTCGGTAGCTTGCCGGGCTCTCCGAGAGGGGCGGAGGAATCGAACTCGGGTCGGCCATGTTGGCCGCGTGCAAGGCAAACGCCCTACCCACTGTGCTATCCCAAAGGCTATGTCAGCCTTGGGTTTGGAAACAAGTTCTTAGATATGGCAGAAAAAGTATGATCCATTAAAAAAAAAAGATAAAGACCACCCCAGATCTGAAGCTCTTCAAAGACGTCCAAAAGGGGGTTGGGGTACGGCTCCAGTGCAGACTCGGGCACTGCACAACCCCTTTCAGGACACTGGGGGTGGCCCTCGCCTGCGCCCCCAGTCACTGCTGGATGTGGCCCCCATGGGAGCAAAAGGATGGCAGTAAGGGAGCAAGAAGCAAGTTACTGGTGAGAAAGAGGTGCTTGCAAGTTCTTTTTAAAAAAATATTTATTTTAATTGAATCACAGTGAGATACACAGTTACAGGGTTATTCATGACTGGGTTCCAGTCATACGATGTTCCAACACCTGTCCCGGCACCAGTGTACATTCCTCACCACCAGTTTCCCTTTCCCCCTTTCCTAGCTTGGCAGGTACTTTTCTTCTCTCTCTCTCTCTCTCTCTCTCTCTCTCTCTCTCTCTCTCTCTCTCTCTCTCTCTTTCCTCTCTCCTTTCTCTCTCCTCTCTCTTCCTCTGTTTCTCCCTCCTTCTCCCTCTCCCCCTCTCTCCATCTCTCTCTCTTCAGCTCTCTCCCTCTCTCTCCCTCTCTTTCTCTTCCTCTCTCTCTTTCTCTCTCTCTCTTTCTCTTTCTCTCTCCTCCCCTCTCCCCCCCTCTCCCCTCTCTCCCCCACTTTTCTTGTGGGCATTATGATTTGCAATACAGATACTGAGAGAAGTTACCAAGGGATCAGTATGACAACGACACTTGGATATGATCACTCTGGATCACTGAGTGTTGAAAGTAGGTAAAAGGACATGCATGTTTGCCGATTGCATCCCTGAGTCAGGAGCCGGGTCTGGCTATGTTCCTGTTGTGCTGTAATGGCCACAGAAACACCCTCTAGAATGGCTATGATCAAAGAAACTTAGCAAGAAACTGAAACTTAGCAAGGAAGTGGGAAATGATTCGCCGGTTCATAGCAATTGGGTCACTGTCACTGTCACTGTCCTCCCATTGTTCATCGACTTGCTTCCAGCAACTGGGTGGTTTTAAAAATAGACACTGTATCCTAGGGCTGGAGAGAGAGAACTGAGGGTAAGCTGCTGGCCTTGCACGTTGCCAGCCCAAGTCTGATTCCCGGCACCACATGTGGTTTCCCCAAGTCCTACCAGGAGTGATTACTGAGTGTGTAGAGCCAGACATAAGCCCTGAGCACAGCTGGGTGTGGCTTAAACACAAGCAAACAAAAAGACATTGCATTAGTGTTCTTTAATAAAATCAAGAACAGGGCTGGAGCGATCGTACAGCGGGTAGGGTGTTTGCCTTGCATGCGGCCAACCTGGGTTTAATCCCCGTCATCCCATATGGTCCCCCAAGCACTGCCTGGAGTAATTTCTGAGTGCAGAGCCAGGAGTAACCCCTGAGCACCGCTGGGTGTGACCCTGTCACTGTCACTGTCACTGTCTTCCTGTTGTTCATCGATTTGCTTAAGCGGGCCCAGTAACGTCTCCATTGTGACACTTGTTACTGTGTTTGGCATATTGAATACATCATGGGGAGCTTGCCAGGCTTTGCCGTGCTGGCAAGATACTCTCGGTAGCTTGCCAGGCTCTCCAAGAGGGGCGGAGGAATCGAACTCGGGTTAGCCATGTTGGCCACTTGCAAGGCAAACACCCTACCTGCTGTGCTATAGCTCCAGCCCAGGTGTGACCCAAAAAGAAAAAAAAATAACTATTTAAAACGAAACAAAGCAACAACATAGCATTCCTAGAAGTGAAAATACCAGGATTGTTTGTACCCAGCATTTACAATTGCATTTCATGGCAGCCAAAAAGGAGAAATAATGTGAATGCTCAGTAATGGGGGTCGGTCCTGACCTGTGTATCCAACTGAGTGAATACTGCTGTGAAACTCATGGACAAATCTCTGATATCATTGCTCTCAACTCTCCAGAAAGCTGGAGTCAGCAGCAGACATGGGGAGTTGTGGGGGGTGGCTTAGCAGAGCAGACTGTCAGGAGGCCCGAGGGCTGTGTGAGAGAGGATGGGTCTTCTAAAACCACAGCCAGGAGTAAGCCCTGAGCACTGCTGTGTGTGGCTCTCCCCCATTAAAAAAAATTCTGTATTTGGGCTGGAGCGATAGCACAATGGGTTTGCCTTGCATGCGGATGACCCGTGTTCGATTCCCAGCATCCCATGTGGTCCCCCAAACACGTCCACGAGTAATTCCTGAGTGCATGAGCCAGGAGTAACCCCTGAGCATCGCCAGGTGTGACCCAAAAAGAAAAAAAATTCTATATTTTGTGAAGCTATTAAGAATAAAAGAAAAGGGGCTGGAGCGATCGTACAGCGGGGAGGACATTTGCCTTGCATGTGGCCAACCTGGGTTTGATCCTTGGCATCCCTTAGGTCCCCTGAGCACTGCCAGGAATATTTCCTGAATGCAGAGCTAGGAGTGGTCCCTAAGCATTGCTGGGTGTGACCCAGCCAGAAAGCAAAAAAAAAAAAGAATAAATGGGAAGCTTCTGGAGAACTCACCACTGACAGGGCCACCTCTGCCAGGGTCTTCGTGCTGCTCCTGGTTCTGATCTCCATCCTCTGGATCCCCGTGGTCCAGGCCAGCCAAGGGGGGCAGCTCTTCATTTACATCCAGTCCATCAGCTCCTACCTGCAGCCGCCGGTGGCCATCGTCTTCATCATGGGCTGCTTCTGGAAGCGGACGAATGAGAAGGTAGCTTTGACTCTGCCTCCCCCACCATACTAGGTCCAAGGGTCCATGAGGATGGGAGAACTCGAGGAACGGCAACCTCGAGGCAGGTCCAAACTTGGCAGGTGTCATTCTGTCATTGAACCTGGAGGCTCAGGGCCGGACAGATAGGATAGTGGGTAGGGGAATTGGAGCGATAGGATGGGAAAGGCATTTTTGCTTTGTACGTGGCCAACATGGCTTCCCATGTGGTTCCCTAAGTGCTACCAGGAGTAATTTCTTTGTGCAGAGCCAGGAGTAACTCCTGAGCATCACTGGATGTGACCCCAAAATTTAAAAAAAAATAGGATAGTGGGTAAGTGGGTAGTGCCCTTGCTTTGCATACAGCCAAATGGGGTTCAATCCCCGTCATCCCATATGGTCCCCTGAGCACCGACAGGAGTGATCCCTGAGTGGAGATCCAGGAGTAAGCCCTGAGTATCGCCAGGTGTAGCCCCAAACAAAAAACAAACAAACGAAAGACGAACTGTGAGGCTGGGCTTACGGGGACAGAGAAAGTAGGATGGGAGGGACCCATTTTTCCCATGGGAAAGGTCAATTCAATGGTTTTTGACTCACTGGCCCTCTGTGGTGGTCACCAGAAGGATGAGTTCTGGAGGTGGCCTTTGGGAGGCCCCCATCAGCCCCAGGGCTCTACGACAGCCTTGCTCTGCCTTGCAGGGGGCTTTCTTGGGGCTGATTTTCGGCCTCCTCCTGGGCTTGATCCGGCTGGTCCTGGACTTCGTGTACGTGGCGCCTCTGTGTGACGAGAAGGACGAGCGGCCGGAAGTGGTGAAGGTCCATTACCTCTACTTCTCCATGATCCTGTCCTCCGTCACGCTGATCATCGTGTTCACTGTCAGCTGGTTCACAGAACCGCCTTCCACCGACATGGTAGGTTTGTGTTTGAAGCATAGCTGCAGTGTGACAGAAACTGGCTTAAGCCGAGGGGAGGGATTGAGGGCCCGGGAGAGAGTGCAGTGGTTAGGGCCACTGCTCAGCACAGGTGTGACCTGGGTTCCATTCCCAGTCCCACCGGGTCCCCTGAGCATCACCAGAGTGGCCCTGGGTACCATTGAACAACACCGGGGCGGGTGAGCAGAGTGGAGGGATGCAGCCCTCTTCTGCCCATGAAGCAAAGACCCCCCACCTCCCCCCCACTTGTTGCTGGCCACGTTCCTGAGTCCCACTGAGGGGCCAGCTCCAGACACCGGCTCTTCTGCTAAGTGACTGGGTCCCAGGGGCCAGAGAGCGGGATAAGCTGAATGGCCGGCGTCCAGGTCCCCAGACTCCCCAGGGCTGGACAGAAACCCAGGGAAGTAGCAGATGGGAGCCTGAGATCCCAGCAGGAGAACAAAGCCTGTGGGAGGAAGAGGGGGTGGGAAGCTGGTACCCCAGAACCACAGGGAAGGCGAGAGTGGAGGGGCAGGGGTGGAGATGGGGGGTGGTCGCCAGTGTCTGCCCTGTGCACTGTAGGTCAGCCGCCTGACCTGGGCCACCCGTCATGACCCAGTGCTGCAGAAAGAGCAGGTGCCTCTCACGCCCGCGCCCCCTCTGGCGCCTGCAGCCAGCAGTGGAGTCCAGCCTGAGGGGCTCCCGGAAAGCACGTCCAAAGCCCACGGTGGTGAGTTGAGTCCCCGCACTTCCGGCAGGAACCTCGAAAGAGCCAACCTGGGCAGGGGGCTGGGAGGTGCTCCTGACCACCCAGGGTCTGGCCGGCTCCGGCCACCAAGTGGGGTGTTCAGGATCTTCCACAGGACCCCCAGGTGGACGAGAATAGCTTGAGGGCTTAGGAAGCACAGGGTGTGGGACCCCCGAACCCCCCAGCCCCCGCAACTGCCAAGAGCAGATTTGGGGTCAGCCCATGTACTGTTTTTTTATATCTACTATACCTATATAGATATATATTTTTTCTTTTAATTTTTATTAGTGAAACACCACGAGGTACAGTTATAGACTTACAATTTTTTGTGCTTGGGTTTCAGTTATACAATGATCGAATACCCATCCCTCCACCAGTGCCCATTCTACACCTCCAGTTGCTCCCAGTATCCCTCCCACCCTATAGATATATTTTTTATATCTGTATCTTGTTTACTTTAAGACTTTGTGCGTGTGTTTGTGTATGTGTGTGTATGTATGTGTGTGTTTGTGCATGTATGTGTTTGTGTATGTGTGTGTATGTGTTTGTGTATGTGTGTATGTGTATTTGTAAATGTGTGCATGTGTATGTGTGTGTTTGTGTATGTGTATGTGTGTGCATGTGTATGTGTGTACGTGTGTGTATTGTGGTGTGGTCCTGGGGCTCAAATTCAGGGCCTTCTGCATGCAGATCCCTGACCCCACCTACTGCTTTGTCAAATGTAAATCAACCATTGCCCCCCCCCCCCCCCCCGCATCCCCTGTTCCCCCTGCCCCACGTCCCCTCCCCCCCCCCCAGCTGTGCTTGGAGCTTATTCCTAGCTCTGCACTCAGGGATCACTCCTGGCAGGGTCAGAAAACCATATTGGGTGCTGAAGGATTAAGCCCAGGTCAGCTGCCATGCAAGGTGAGAGCCCTACCCATTGTGCTATCTTTCTGGCTCCCATTAACTATGAAAACTCAGGGGATTTCAGCGAGGGAGAGAGCTGCAGGAGTGGGCTTTGCAGGCCCAGCTCTGAAGAGAGAAAGTTCCTCTCAACCCCTCATCTCTCTGCTTCCCGTCAGCCAAGGTGAAGTGGAGGCGGTCACATCTGGGTCTCCTGGGTCCCTGCCCACCAGCCCTGGGATCCCCCTCCATCTCTTCCCCGAAACCATTGCACCGGGCCCTGTCCTGAACATAGAAACACTCTGACTGAGTCTTCAGGAACTTGCCTTGCGTGAAGCTGTGTTGGCCTCAACCCTGATTTGAGTACCCTGCACCACATAAGCTCCCCCAGAGGAATTTTGGGGATCCTGCTTGAGCACAGAGCTACAGAGTCCCTGAACACCTCCCAGGCGTGGTCCCCAAACAAAAAAAACATTGAAATCAAAAGAAGGGGCTAGAGCAGTAGTACAACGGGGAGGGTATACGCCTTGCTCGCTGCCGACCTGGATTCTAACCCCGACATCCCATAGCATCCCCTGAGCACTGCCAGGAATAATTCCTGAGTGCAGAGCCAGGAAGAACCCCTGAGCATCACTGGGTGTAGTCCCAAAACTAACAGAAAAAGCAAAACTAAACCCAAAGGAAAGTCTTTATGCGGATCTTTTTTTTTTTCCTTTTTGGGTCACACCCGGCGATGCACAGGGGTTCCTCCTGGCTCTGCACTCAGGAATTCCTCCTGGCGCTGCTCAGGGGACCCTATGGGATGCTGAGAATCGAACCTGGGTCGGCCGCGTGCAAGGCAAACGCCCTACCCGCTGTGCTATTGCTCCAGCCCCCATCAAGCAGATCTTTGTGGGGACCTTTTCTCAAAGATTTCACCCAGAGACTAGCACGCAGCGGGCGAGTTGCCCCCAGGCTCTCCTCCCACCCCCCAGCCCACCCTCACCATCTGTCTCTGGGCTTCTTTCCAGCGGAGGCCAGCCCCAAGCGGTCCAAAGTGGTCCAGTCCCTCCTGTGGCTTTGCGGGATGGAAGGCAAAGGCCAGGAGGAGCCCCCGCCCACGGCAACCGAGGCGGAGCCCATCAGGATTTCCCTGGAGGAGAAGCCGCTGGTGAAGACTTTTCTGGACATCAATCTGGTCATCTGCCTCAGCGCCGCCATCTTCCTCTGGGGCTACTTCGCGTGATGTGGGTGAGCCTTGGGGCCTGGGCTCTCGCTTTGCTTTCCACACCCCTTTTTTTTTAAGTGAAAGAAAAAAAAGTAATAAACTTTGTTTACCATGGAGTCTAAGGATCACTTTTTTGGGGGGATGAGGTGGTGGGATTGGGGAGAAGGTTCCCAAACAGCGCTCAGGAGACCCTGCACAGGTGGTTCTCGGCCAGACAGGCTGGTGGCTCAACGTGACGCCCCGCGGAACCAGGGTCACACGGGCACGGCTCCTGCTGGGGGCCTCGAGGCCGATCCATGATACTTAGGAGACCCCATGAGGCCCAGGATCGAGCCTGGTATGAGCCCTAAGCACTGTTATCTCCTGAGCCCTGGCGGGGGGTGGGGGGATCACTTTTTAAAAATTTTATTATTTTTTTCAAGAGTTTTATTTTACTTTTTTGCTTTTTGGGTCATACCCGGCGATGCACAGGGGTTACTCCTGGCTCTGCACTTAGGAGTCACTCCTGGCGATGCTCAGGGGACCCTATGGCATGCTGGGAACTGAACCCCGGTTGGCCGTGTGCAAGGCAAACCCCCTACCTGCTGTGCTATCCCTCCAGCCCCTGAATTTTATTTTATTTATATTATTAATTAATTTTTTTTTTTTTTGCTTTTTTGGGTCACACCCGGCAATGCTCAGGGGTTACTCCTGGCTCATGCACTCAGGAATTGCTCCTGGCGGTGCTCAGGGGACCATATGGGATACTGGGAATTGAACCCGTGTCGGCCATGTTGGCTGCATGCAAGGCAAACGCCCTACCCGCTGTGCTATCGCTCCAGCCCCTGAATTTTATTTTTTTAACGGAATCACTGTGAGATAGTTACAAGGTGATTTGTGATTGGATTTCAGTCACGCAATGTTCCAACACCCATCCCTTCACCAGTGCATATTTCCCATCACCAATGTCTCCAGTTTCCCTCCCTCCACCCCTCACCTTCAGTCTGTTTCTATCTTCTTTCTCTGTCTCTCCCTGTCTCTGTCTCTGTCTCTCTCTCCTGGGGGTCACATTCTGCTCTTTTTTTTTTTTTTGGCATTTTTAGGTCACACTTGGCAATGCTCAGGGGTTACTCCTGGCTCTGTGCTCAGGAATCACTCCTGGCAAGCTCAGGGGACCAACCATCTGGGATGCTGGGAATTGAACCCAGGTTGGCTGTGTGCAAGGAAAACGTCCTCTCCGCTGTGCACTAGGGGTCACTTTCAATGGGTCACTTTCAATGGGACGCTGAGCTCCATTCTTCTTCAAAGGGAATGAGCAGCTTGGGCAAGAATGAGAGCTTCCTTCTCTCAAAAGGCGGGTGCTCTGTTCCAGTTTGTCGTGCCACCCGCCTTCGGCAGCTGCAGGGAGGTGGAGAGACAGACATCAGCCCTCCCTGCCGACAGCAGCTGCCTCTCCAGGCCCTGAGCGAGCTCTTGAACTTTCTCCCTAGTTAACCTTCCACTAGTGAGGGCTGACTCCATACCTTGTTGCCGCAGCTTTGGGGTAAAGGGAAGCCGGTTTCTCCAAGGCTTCCTCCCCGGAACCCTCACCCCTCCAAATCTCTTGGAAACACACCTGAGTTGGAATCCTGGAATTTCAGAGAATTGTGCATCGGGGGACAGGGTTTGGTCCTGGCTGCATGCGATCTCCAGAGCACTGCTGCTAGAGCAGCAGCCCTGGTGGCCCACAGCCCCTCTGGGGAGGTCCCCCAGCCTCCAGAGAAGAAACATCGGAGAAGAGCACAAGCTGGCCACGTAATCATGGCTGGTTCGAGACCACAGGGGTAGAAGCCAGATGTTCGTCTGCAGGTGCCCCAAGGTGATCCCAGAGAGTCTCCCTCAGTTCAGGGGAGCACTGTGAGCCTGAGTCCAAGAGAAGGACGATGGGTTATTCCAGGGCCTCAGGAGACCCAGGGATCACACACTCAACAGCATGTGCATCCTGCAGTGGTCACAGGGGACCCAGGAATCGCGAGGAGTCACACCCCGACCCCAGCCCCACCCACTGCTGTCCCCACGTGCCAGGTGAAGGGGGCCGGAAGGCGCTGGGGCAGGCTGGCGGTGGGCGCCGTGCAGGGGAGGGGGCAGCTTCCCGCAGGCCCAGTCTGGCCCCGTCAAGCACCTATGGCTGGCCTCTCTGTTCTCAGAGGGTGTGGGGAGGGGGGTGCAGCCGGTGCTGGGGGTGCTGGGGAAAGGTGAGGGGCGTGGATAGCAGCCCGGCAGGGCCTGGCACCAGGATGCAGGGGAGGGCGTGGTAGGGAGTAGGGGTTTAGGGATTAGGGCTGGGGAGCAGGGTGGGGCTAGGGGACAGGGCTTGGGGGTGGCGGGTGGTGGGTAAGGGATTGGGCTAGGGGGTGGGGGGGTAGCGGGTAGGGCTAGGGGCTAGGGCTTGGGAGCAGGGGATAGGGGTAAGGGGTTGGGCTAAGGGCTTGGGCGAGAGGCGGGGTGAGCCTCGGCCCCCTGCCACCTCAGAGGCCTTTCCTCGGTGCTCACCTGTGACACACTCCATTCAGCGACTGTCCTCCAGGCTGAGCCTGGAGGTCCCTGTGGCAGGGGCGTGAAGCACCTCCTCCAGCGGTAAGGGGGTTTTGCCGCCAGCACGAGACCAGCACATACAGGGGCCTGGTCCGCAGTGCCCCATGTCCTGCCCGGCCCAGGGGGAGCGTCACAGACGGTTGGGGGATCCCAGGGGCAGGGGCTTGCTACCCCCAAGTGACCACGATGTGGGCCAGGCTCTGCTCCACGGCTAAGCTTGGGAGAGTGGCACCGTGCAGAGACGGGGTATGAGGTCGGGGCCCACAGACAAAGGAGAGCCGGATGCAGGGCTCCTGGGGCTGGGCTGGGACTCAGTGTCCCGGGAAGGTCTGCCTGGCAGGGTGAGGCTGGGATCCAGTCCCCATAGCACTGCCCAAACCAACACCTCCGCCCGTCCCCCAGTCAAAGAGAAGGAAGGAAAAAAAAAGTCCCCAGCTCCCAACTGTTCACGTGACTAGTAAGCAGAAGGAGAAGGCTGGAAGCCCGAGTTCAGGGGGAAACGCGATTGTCCTTTTCCAGGGAAAGCTGTGGTGTCTGCTCCAAGTGGGCAGCGATGTCGTGTCTGATCCCAGATGCAGGCCGGGTTGGGTCACAGACACACCCAGTGTGACTCAGAGGCCCGGTCAGCGAGCCTCCCTCTGTTCCCACGTCTTCTTTATTTTCTTTTTCTTTTTGGGTCACACCCGGTGATGCTCAGGGATTACTCCTGGCTCTGCACTCAGGAATTACCCCTGGCGGTGCTCAGGAGACCATATGGGATGCTGGGAATCGAACCCGGGTCTGCCACGTGCAAGGCAAACGCCCTCCCCGCTGTGCTCTTGCTCCGGCCCCTGTTCCCATGTCTTGGCTGGGGAACAACAGCCTCATGGCTCCAACTCCCACCTGCCCTTCACGAGCAATTCCACCCAGGGAAGGAGCGGCTTCCAGCCGTGGGAAGAGATGCTTCGTCAGGAATGGCAGAACACAAACACACGGAGAGACGGCCACATCCTCCAGCGCACCCGGCGGCTGGTTTCACCACTGCGCCCTTCTCTCTCCTTTGCAGCCTCAGTCACCCGAGACCCCCAAACGTCCCCTCCATCATTCTAATTTACCTCCTGAGGTATTTCATGACACTCACACACACAAACGCTCTCCCCACAGCTCCGCCTCCAAGAACCATTAATTTTTTTTATATAAACCACAGAATATATTTAATTCAATTAAACATGAAACTAGAATAATGTTCGGTCCTTATCAAGTTGCAATTACATTGTTGTTTTTTTCCTTTTTTTTTCTTTTTTTAAAAAGGACAGCCCATTCCTGCCTCTGTGTCCTGGTGACGCCACAGGGCGCAAGTCCTGTCTGGTTTGCTGAGGTGACGGATCCAGCGGTCACCTCAAAGCTGGCGCGGGTTGCGGGGGGAGGGGGGCAACGGGAAGAAACAAAGATGCTCTGTCATCCCGGACGCGTCTGCAGAGGGGTCTCCCACGGTGGTGGAGAGCCCGGCTGCCGGCAGGGGGGCTCGTCTGGAGATGAATCATCGGGGCGATTCATTAAATAGAGTTGGCGCCTCAAGTCACTCCCAGTCGCTTCCCGGCCGTGTCTCCGTGAGGACGCGTTTCCCACAGACAGGGGATTTGTTTTTGTTTGCTCTGCTTTGTTTTGTGTGTGTGTGTTGATTTTTGGCATGACTGACTTCCTGCCTCCAGGAAGCCAACGTCTTCAAGACACAGGTCATCCAGCTTTGCGTGGCCGCCTCCGCGGCCTCCACGGAAAGCCCGTCGCTGTGTGGGCTGCCCAGAGCGGTGTGTGTGTGCCGGCCGGGGAGGGGCGGGGTGTGTGTGTGGGAGAGCAGTCGTCACAGGGCCGTGCTTTCTGTGTCGTTGTCCATGTCCAGCAGGATGCGGCCGGGTAGGTCTTTGCTGGCGGGATCTGAATGCGTTTCTGGGAAGAGGCTGCGAAGCGGATCCGAAACCCTAGGGCTGGCGTCTGGACAAAGACACGAGGAGACACGGCGTCAGTGGGCGGTAACGCCCCAGCGGCCATCCTTGGGGGGGTGCTCTGAGGAGAAGGGGGTGCTAGGGTGGCTACCGGTCCAGCCATGCACACAATCATCCATCCCTCGCCCTGACGCTGAGGCAGATCTCTGCACCTAGTTGGGTGTGCCCCGCCCAACTGGCCATGGGGCTCCTTCCGTGGGCCTCGGGCACTGCTCAGACATGCAGCCCTCAGAGGAGCTACTTGTCCCGGGGCAGGAGGGGAGACCCCAGGACTCTGAGGCACTAACGGAAACCTCTGGAAGGCATCGAGGAGCAGGAAAGAGCTCCTAGTTCGGCCACTGAGGGCAGCCCCTGGGCTGTGACCTTTAACCTGGCTCCAGTATTTGGGGCGCATGATGCTGGGTTGAGGGACCAGCCTCCCATCACACAGAATTTAGCAATTCCCTGCGAGATGTCACTGGCAGACTGAGTCTTCTCTTCCCAATGTGATAACCTGAGATGTTCCCCAGACGAAAGTCCCCTGGGGCAGTCACCCCTGGCTGACAACCATCACCTAGGTGGGCCGCCAGCCTCATCTCCTGCATACAGTCACTTCTTCTCTTTCAAGTCCTTCTACCTCAAAATTCATTTTTCCCCCCACGTCTTATTGCGTGGGCCGAAATGCCTCAGGCCAGTGGCCACCTCAGACAACTTCAGGAACGATGGCCACCTCCCACAGAGGCCACTATTTCTATGTGCTCACTCTCTCAGGGGCCCTGCCTGAGGAGACCGCAGCTGACAGACAGGCCCTAACCGAGGCCCCACACGCTCCCTTCTCTTCTGCAGCCCCGGGTTCGAGAAAGCGAGGAGAACCCTGCAAGGTGTTGCAGCAGGTGTGGGAGGAGGGCGGGAGGCCCGACACGGCAGGCTCACTTGGCCAGGCCGGGAGGGGGCTGGAGGGGGCGGGAGGGGTGCCAGGCCTGCCCTGGCTGGGAGCCGCTTCCTCTCACAGGCCCTTCACTTCTGAGCTGTGAGACCAATTCACATCTGGGTAAAGTCCCCCTCGGCGCACTTGACTCCGGACGGTTTCCTGGGCACAACGCAGGAACCTGAGGGTGGGGTGGGCCTGTGGTCAATGTCAAACCCAGGGACTGTGCAGGGTGCTCAGGACGGTGAAGGCCAGCTGGGGGGAGAGCAGGGGCCGGGCCCATGTTGTTCACAGTCTCCCCCCAGTGCTCAGACGAGGAACAGGTCAATAGCAGAAGTGCGGTGACCTTTGTGTCTGGCCCGTGGCCAGAGGGACGGGCAGATGGGTGGATGAAGCCTGCTAAGCCTTCCCTCCCTCAGGAGAATGCCAGACCCAGACCGGGAGGCAACACGGGTGCGCGTCCACCCAGAGACTCAACCCTTCCCTTCCCCCTCACGCAATGTCCTTGAGGGCTCCCCAGGAGCACGAGACTCAGTCACTCGGCCAGCGCTTGGGCAGGGGCCAGACCAGGTCTAGGATGGAAGGGCCCTCTAGGGTAGGTGCCTGAGAGGAGACAGTCTCTTTCTCAGGAGAAACGGGCATGAACCCTAAAGGTTCGGGCCCCTTTAAGGAGAAAGGACAAGGGGCTATGGCCAGTATCCACGCCAGGCCCCAGAGCCTCCCGGGAACTCTGGAACTGACCAGTACGGGACCCGAGTGGGCTGTGCAGAACCCAAAGGCAGGTGCAAAGCAGCGTGCACCAGCCCCGCTCTGACCCCCCCTCTGAAGGAAAACATTTCCTGTCATCAAAACAACAGCAACAGCAACAACAACGACGACAACAACAACAACAACAACAACACCCTCCTATTAATGCCGCTTGGATTTGGGCTTTTCTCATCCTCCCAAACCACAGATCACCAATCGCGCACAAGCTGGCTGCTCCATGAGGGGACTCAGGGACGCTGCTCTGCTCGGCCTCCTGTGGCCCTGGGAGGGAGGCCAGCCCGGGGCTGGGGGCCCCAGTGTCTCCCTAGCGCGCCCCTCCACCGTTTCTCCCCTTGTAGGTCCACACCCAGAGCCTGGGGAGAATCCCTGCAGGACTGCCAGACGCTCGACACGACCCCATCTGCCCACCAACGCCCCTCCTGACCCCGGGGAGGGCTCCCCAGGGCATGAGACTTGATCTCTTGGCCAGCGCTTGGACAGGAGCCGGACCAGGTCCAGGGTGGGAGGGCCCTCGGAGGATGAAGTAGTCTAAGAGGAGACAGTATCTGAGGAGAAACAGGCGTGAATCCTAAAGATTCGGGCCCCTTCGAGGAGAAAGGACAACGGGCAGCTCTACAACGGGCAGCTCTAGCTGATACCCCCAGGGGCCCCTATGAATTCCTCTTTTCTTTTTACTTTCTGGGTCACACCCGGCGATGCTCAGGGGTTAAGTCCTGGCTCTGCACTCAGGAATTACTCCTGGCAGTGCTCAGGGGACCATATGGGGTGCCAGGAATCGAACCCGGGTCAGCTGCGTGCAAGGCAACACCCTACCCGCTGGACTATCACTCCGGCCTGCCTCTGCATTTTTCTAAACCCCCTTGCCTGCCCCCCATCCACAATCACTACCAAACTTCCTGGCTTCAAATTCAGGTGACTTCTCACGTACCTTAAGAATTGGTCTTTGGATATCCTGCTTGGAGCTATGGTTCTATAAGGGATACCATTATATTAAAGAAGAAGAAGAAACGAGGAGGAAGAGAAGGAGGAAGCGGAGGAGGAGGAGGAGGAGGAGGAGGAGGAGGAGGAGGAAGAGGAAGAGGAAGAGGAGGAGGAGGAGGAGGAGGAGGAAGTGGAGGAGGAGGAGGAGGAAGTGGAGGAGGAGGAGGAGGAGGAGGAAGAGGAGGAGACAGAGAGAGGAAAAATGGGCTGGGGGTGGCTGGGTGGGGGAGGGAAAGGCAGCCTCACTCAGGCAGAGCCCAAGGAGGTTCACTTCTGAGTGGGGCTCGGACAGGTGAGGCTGCCTGGCTGGGCTGTGGCCTCTTTAGGCAGGAAGTGGCCCTCTGAGGGCAGAACTGGCCATCATGATCCAGAGCCTGAGAAAATCAGTCCTTCCATCCATCGCGACCAGACCTGAGGCAGCAGACCCGGCTGACTTCGCCTGAGCTTGTCAGGAGAGGGGACAGGGGACAGGTCCACAAGCACATCCGGGAAGTGAAACATTCCAGGGGCAACTGCAATTCCAGGGGCAACCCTCCCTGCCCACCACTCTTCCCCTTCCCTGCACAATGGGGGGTGGGGGAGCGCAATGACTCCCCTCATGGCAGGGGGCGGGGTGCGCGGCTCTCCAGCACCCCAGAGACTTGGAGTCAATTTTGTGTTAGTCAAAGGAGAGCTGCTGCCCAAGGACAGTGAGTGTGGGTCTTCACACGCCTTGGTACTGCTCACGAAAATAAATTGTGAGGAGACATCTCGGCCACATTAATGTCCGACTATCAGCAATATGTACTTGCTTCATGAAACAGCCATTTTGAAAAAAAAAAAAAACCCAAAAAGACATAAAAAAATGATGGTTAGGGGCTGGAGCGATAGTACAGCGGGTAGGGCCTTTGCCTTGCACGTGGCCGACCCAGGTTCGATTCCCAGCATCCCATATGGTCCTGAGCACTGCCAGGAGTAATTCCTGAGTGCAGAGGCGGGAGTAACCCCTGTTCATTGCTGAGTGTGACCCAAAAAGCAAAAAAAAAAAAAACCCCAAAAATAACAAAAAAAAGGATGGTTAGATAAAAGGGAGAGAGAAAAAGGGAATGTGCTTGTACAGAGGCAGGCGGTGGTGGGAGGGATACTGGGAACATTGGTGATGGAGAATGAACATTGGTGGAGGGATGGGTATTCGATCATTGTATGACTGAAACGTAATCACGAAAGTTTGTAAGTCTGTAACTATCTCCCGGTGATTCATTAAAAATCAGTAAATTAATTAAAAAAAAAAAGATGGTTAGAAAAACTTCGGGCTGGAGCGATAGCACAGCGGGTAGGGTGTTTGCCTTGCATGCGGCAAACATGGTCGACCCGAGTTCGATTCCTCCGCCCCTCTCAGAGAGCCCGGCAAGCTACCGAGAGTATCTCGCCCGCACGGCAGAGCCTGGCAAGCTCCCCGTGACGTATTCGATATGCCAAACACAGTAACAACAAAGTCTCCAATGGAGATGTTACTGGGCCCGCTCGAGCAAATCGATGATCAACGGGAGGGCCTTTACCTTTACACATATAGGTATTTGGGTTTTGGGTTATACCTAGTGTTGTGGGTAGGGCATTTGCCTTGCCTGCGGCCGACCCGGGTTCGATTCCTCCATCCCTCTCGGAGAGCCAAGAGTATCCCGCCCGCATGGCAGAGCCTGGCAAGCTCCCCGTGACGTATTCGATATGCCAAACACAGTACAGTTGTCACAATGGAGACATTACTGGGCCCGCTCGAACATATTGATGAACAACGGGAGGACAGTGACAGTGACAGAAAAACTTCAATGTGGAAGACAGCATATGAAGTCTAAGTAGAATATGATGCAAGATCGAATCTCTAGGGCTATTTTGGTGGTGGTGGTTTCGATCTACACCAGCTGTGCCCAGGGCTTATTCTTAGCTCTGTGATCGGAGGCCACTCCTGAGAGTCTACATGTGGAGCTGGGGCTTGAACTAGAACCCGATTCCCCTTTACTACCTTTCCTAAAGACACCCCTATCATGACGGAAAGACATTCGAGAGAGAATGTTGGGAGCACCCAGCAGGTGGGTCCTTTTGGGAAACCACCATGAACCCTGACAGACGAGGCCTGCGTATGCTCAGGCTCCAACCTTCCTGGCCAGGCTGGGGCCTCCCATATGCAGCCATGTCGCTGGCCCGCTCCGGCCCACAAAACAACCAATCGGGAGTGCCAAGTGATACAGCATCAGTGAAATCCTGAAGCTCCTGGGGCTGGGCTTTAGAAATCCAGATCAAAACTTAACCCACAAATCTCATTCATAGCTCGGACGATTCCTCTGGGGGAAAATGACGCTGGCCACCACTGACTCAGATCCACTGCATACTAAGAATGAATAAGAAGATGCTCTGCTTGCTTTAGTCCCTGCACCAAGAACTCTCACAGATGCCACTATTTTACAGACGACTGAGGGGGGCCGTGCCTGGTCCCGCATTAGACAAAGAGCTAAAGTTCTCGGGCAAGCTCGTCTGACCCGACAGCTTGTGTACATTCAGCTCCCCCTCAAGCCTGCGTGGTGGAGAAAAGGATGGAAGGGAATCAGAGAAGCATCCAGGCCAGACTCCGTGACCCCATCACGCTTTTGTGAACATACTTAGTACTCGGAGTAACGAACAGCAAGCAAGAGGGAAGCCGGCCTCCTTGGGCGCATGCAGTGTTAGTAGGGACGCAGGCAGGCGGGTTAGGGTGCCCGGTTAGTAACAGGCATTAGTGCGCGTATGTGATCATCAAGTAGCAAAAAAAAAAAAAAAAAATTGCTTTGGCCAATCAGGTGCCTTTTCCTTACCATTAAATATTCCAATTTCAGTTCTTACTGAATAGGACGGGTCATACATCTAAATTATTTAATGAAATGTTTAAATTAGAACACTCTTGGTGGAAATCTCTGACTTTAAAAATAGCAAGACATACACACTCTTTACTTGTAAAACTAAGAAAACCATGGCTTTCTAGAGTCGAGATCTAGAAGGGAACAGATTGAAGCTGGAACCTCTTCTCTGCCAGTGTTATCAGCCCGGCCTGGCCTCAGTGACCCCCTACACGGGTCTGTCTGGGTCCTGGGCCGTGGCGCAGTGCTCTCTGATGAAGTGCTCTCACCAAATCATTGTTTTGCAAAATCTTGCCTAAAATTTTTTTCAGTGAAAGTCTCAAGTTCCAATCAGGGCTGCCTGTCTGGGGAATTTCTTTTCTTTTCTATATTTTTCCTTGCAGGATACCCAATGGCTGTCTCCAGGACAGCTGGTATCAGCATGATCAACACCAGCAGATTGTGACATCTAAGTCTAGGCCCCTCTGTCCACTTCTCATGGCAGGCAGCACAGGTAATTTTTAAGAAACTTTAAGATAATACAAAGATAACTGGGGGGTGTGGAATTTCTTGAGGTAGGAGAATCCATAGCACCACCTGATATTAAAATATCTAGCTAATACCTTCATGCAACAGAAACGGTCATTTAGCTGATAAATTACAAAGCACGGAGCATTACAGTGTCTAGCGGGTCAATAAGATAACCTTCTAGAATAAGTGTCCCCAGAGTAACAAATGGTATTAAAGAACAGATGCAATTCTGGCTTGGGGGTCCTCTGGTGAAACAAAAGGAAAGAAAGACCTTCTTTTGGATGAAAAGTTTGGGATGTCCCATTACTCATGAGCTGAGAGGCTCAGCCTTGCAGTGATTTCCATGTTGGTGGCCAGCGTTAGTCACCAAGGAGTGGGGAAGACAGGCCCGCTGTTGCGGTTTAAAGCTTCTGCCCTCCCCTCTGGATTGACACCAGCTCTTACTCAGACCTCCGTCTCAATGGGTCTCTGTAGGCTTAAGGCACAGATCTGGAGGTTAAGGCCATTGTACCTCTAAGAGGCTTCTGATGCACAAAGGTATCCCAGAAGCCTCACAGTGTGTGTCTTTTGAAAAGCTCATTTGGTTTAAGAAAGCAAAATGTAAGCTGGCTAGATGCAAAGAAATTTAGTGCAGGATCTCTGGAAGGTTTTTTTTTTTTTTTTAAGGAGGGTGGAGAGTGGAGGGGTTGGGCCTGAGAAATTCAAACAAATTAAGAAGCTCCATGCAGTTAACTTGCACTTAGATAGGCAATTAAAAAAAAAAAAAGACAGCTCAGGAAGACGAGGGACACAGATGACTGTGCCCACTGCCCTGAGCCCATCCCTGGGTGGCTGGATGCTGACAGAAGGGTCATGCCTGGGAGAGCAGCCCACTGAAGGCTTCACCCCGAGAAAGAGGCAGCTCAGCACCTAGGCTGGGAGCCCTGCGACCTGCCGCTCACCCGACTGACTTCTCCTCTTGCACCCGGAGTCTTGCGACTCCGTGTGCCTCTCTCATAAACGGAAAGTGTGTGTGTGTGCGCGTGTAACTACGTGCGTGTGTGTGCATGTGTACATGTGCATGTGTGCACGTGTGTGTGCGCGTGTGTATGTGCATGCGTGCATGTGTGCGTGTGCTTGTGTGTGTGCATGTATCTGTGTGTGTGCATATGCGTGTGTATGTGCATGCATGTGTGCATATATGTGCGTACACGCTGCAGCACAGACAAGATGACCTCTGAGGGCTGCTCCTGAGCACAACGTCAAAAGCACAAACGCAAAACACAGCTAAGCACAGGCACGCCGAGCACTGCGGGGCGAGCTGTGGGGGGGTTACAGACCTCAGTCCCGGAAGCCATCCCCACCTGTGAGGGCACTAGGCAGGGCATCTGGGGGAAAGAAACAAACAAACAGACCACGGTGACTCTCTTTGTTCTGTGCACAAGCCACAGCTGAGGTGGCATCAGGAAAAAAGTCATTAGCCATTGACAACGCCCACAACGTGGACCCCGTGTTCCCGGGGCTGGGAGGGTTAAAAACAGGAGCGGACGCGTGTGCTCAGCAGAAAGGCTGCTCAGGTTGGTACCCGGGCCAGGAGATCTCTGCTGAGTTGCTGGAAAGAGCCCCACTTGCAGAATTTAAAATGAGGTGGTTGGGGCTGGAGCGATAGCACAGCGGGGAGGGCATTTGCCTTGCACGCAGCCGACCTGGGTTCGATTCCCAGCATCCCATATGGTCCCCTGAGCACCGCCAGGGGTAATTCCTGAGCACAGAGCCAGGAGTAACCCCTGTGCATTGCCGGGTCTGACCCAATATGCAAAAAATAAATAAATAATAAAAAAAAATAAAATAAAATGAGGTGGTTGGGGGGAAAACGATTCCAGGCCCCTGCTTATCATTTATTTATTTTTTTCAAAAAGGTAAAGGTAAAGGTAAAGGCCCTCCCGTTGATCGTCGATTTGCTCGAGCGGGCCCAGTAACGTCTCCATTGGAGACTTTGTTGTTACTGTGTTTGGCATATCAAATACTCTCGGTAGCTTGCCGGGCTCTCCGAGAGGGGCGGAGGAATCGAATTCGGGTCGGCCATGTTGGCCGCTTGTAAGGCGAACGCCCTACCGCTGTGCTATCGCTCCAGCCCTTTTACCTTTTTCAAAAAAGCACATAAAAAAAAAACTAGCCACCAAGCCTTAAATCTAATAGTAAATTAGAGTCTGTGGGAGGGAATTCTTACATGGCGACTTAAGGGTTGTGTCTGTTAAAAACAAAACGAAACAAAAAAATCCTGAGATGGGGGATGGAACATAGTAGTCAAAAACCCAGCTAGGAATAACTCTGCAACTCACGGTGCTTTAATAAAATAAAATTTGGAGTGGGAAAAATCCCCCAGCGCAGGATTCCAGGGGCGTTCTAGGGAAATCCTGACTCTTCCCTCCTGCTGCAGCTGGCCAGCCGGGCCCTAGCATGCCAAGTCGGGAGCATCTCGAGGGGGTCCTGCCCAGGGCCTCAGGGCGTGCCCACCCTGTTTCTGCAAAGCTGGGAGCTGGGCATCTTCACTGCCACAAAGAAGCCCCTGGGGAGGCATTCACTGAGAGAGGGACGTCTAAGAGAACAGTGATGGGAGGGGGCCACGCCCAGGGGCCAGGAGGGGACCCTGCTTGGGCTGGCTGCGGTTTCCAGAAAGGACCCAAGTCCCAGGCTGCAGGGCACGGGGAATCCTGCTCGGGCCAGCTGCAGGTCTCAAAAGGACCCAAGTGCCCAAGTCCCAGGCTGCAGGGCTGACTCGGGGGCGCAGGGCAGACCCAGGATGCCCGCAGGGCTGAACTCGGAGCGCAGGGCTGACTCAGAGGAGCAGGGCAGACCCGGGGATGCAGGGCAGATAGTGGTGGTGGTGGTGGTGGTGGTGGAGACGAGACACAGGGCTGACCCGGAGTACCAGGGCAGAGCCGGGGCGCAGGGCCGACCTGGGAGTGCAGCGGCTGCCTCTGGGCCCAGGTGGGCTGAGTTGAGGGGCGCAGGGCACAGAGCCCCGGTGCCCGCGATGCCTTAGAAACCAGCAAGGAGGACAAGCCCCAGGGTGCTCCAGAGAGAGTGGTCAGCGCACCCCTAGGACCCTCGGACCCCGTGGGTGCACGCGCGCAGTTGCTACTCACCGGTGACGATCTTGGAGGCGGTGGGCGCAGCGGGGTGGGCATCCCCTGGCGGGTGCGCGCCGGGTGGGTGCGGGGGCGGGGGCACGCTGGGTCGGTTGCGGGGCTTGGGCACAGGTCTGGGCCTGGCCGGGGCTCCGCTCTCAGGGTTGCTCGGCGCCCCAGGGTTCTGCTTGCCCAGGGGCGGGGTGCTGGGGGGCGTGGGGGTCTGTGGGGGGCTGTGCGGCGGCGGCTCGCTGGGGCCGGGCGCGGGGGGCTGCGGCGGCGGGTGGCTGGGCGCCTGCAGGGGTGGGAGGCTGCTGGACGCGCGTCTGGGGGCGCCGCTGGGGGGCTGCGTGGGCGGCGAGGGGCTCCGGGCAGCGGGCTTGGGCGACAGGCTGGGGGGGTGCGGGGACCCTCCTGGCGAGCTCTGGGCGCCGGGCTGGCCTGGAGGGGGGTTTCCTGGTTTCGGGGGCGCAGGAGCGGGTTTTTTAACAGCTGCACAAAAGGAAAAAAGAAGAAAAGGAGTTGGGATTGGTTAGAGCATCTGGTAAGAACGTGGCCCGCCAGGGTTCCTTCCGCGGCATCCCACAGAGTCCCCGGTGGACCGCCAGGAGTCAGCCCTGAGCATCACTGGGTGTGGCCCCCAAAGCAAAGGATGGAAAGCACCAAGGGTCAGATGCCCCGGAGAAACCGCCCAGCATGCCACCACCCAGAGTGCCAGGCGGGACAATCAGGGCAAGCCCGGCACAGGGATGTGGGTGGGTGCTGGGTGGGCTGCCGGACCAGAGGGTTCCACATGGGACCTTGGCCTCAGGCTCAGGCATCTCTGCCCTGGCCAGAAGCTGGCAGGGCCCTGGGAGTGGGGCTCCTGGCTCTATCTGCCAGTCAACTCCCAGACTTTCCTATAAATCCGAAAGGCCTCCTGGGGCCGAGAGAGTACTCAGTGATCAGTGCTCAGTGCAGGGGGCGGGGGTCACCTCCTGCCCCCTTGAGCAAGAGCAGAAGAACGAGCAGGAGTAAACACCCCTCCTCTGGCACACTGGGTGTGGCAGAAACCCACCAACCAACCTCTCTCTCTCTCTCTCTCACACACACACACACACACACACACACACACACACACACCTGGGTGTAGCCAGAAACCAACCCCTTTCAGCCCCCTAACCCTGGATGTGTTCCAAAAACTAACGCCTCCCGCCCCCCCCATACACACACTTGAGTGTAGCCAGAAACCAATGTCCCCCCAGTCCCACCTGACACACACACATGCATATGCACGCATGTGCGCATGCACACACACACACACACACACACACACACACACACACACACACAGCTTCCTATGAAAAAGTTTACTTTTCCAGGAGCACGTGACACACGCAGGGGCCCTGCCATGGGCAAAGCCCAGTCAGAAACTCAGGTAACAGGAAGTGGGGCAACCAGGCGTGGCCACACATGGGGGTGGGGGGCCCTGCCCTTGGCCCCTTCCCTATGGGTAGGGCTGCCCTTCACAATGGGAACCATGCCCGCTCCAGAATCCCTACAGGCAAGATAAAATAGGGGGTGGAGGTGGGGGAGGTGGGGTCTCCACGATGGGCTGCAGCATCAAGGCACCTCGCAGCAGCAGGGGGCCATATCCCGTTCTTATGTGCAGACACATCGGGGCGACTGAGCACAGCTGCGCTGAGAGCCGGGCACACGCATTCTGCTCCGTGGCAGTCAGGGTGGGCCTTGGTACGGGGGTTGCGGAGGGTGGGATGGGAAAGCCATGGCTGGAGGCCGGGGCTGGGAGCGGTGGGTGGACTGCAAAGCATCGGCAGAGTTTAGGGGAGAGAGTTTTCCCAAGAGAGAGAGACGGAGAGGCCGGAGAGAGACCAAGCACCCCTCATCCTCCACGGCCCCCCGCAGGCCTAGCGAGCTCCTGCTGTCGCTCTGGCCACTGCCTGGGGAAGAGAAGCCAGACCCAGAGCAGCTGGGGCGGAGATCACGCGGCTCACGCCATGTCCTTGAGTCCCTGGGCTGGCTCCCGGCCAGAGGGCCCGGAGCTCAGGGACAGGAAGGGGGAGAGAGCTGGCGCGGCTGGAACAGAACTTCTGACCCCGGGCCAGAGAGACAGCTGCCGCCGGACTTCATCCCGAGCGGCCTGGAGGAGTGGCGCCATTCACGCCTCACACTGGCTCGGCTGGACACCCCCCTCTGCCCATCCCCCGGGCTTCCCCACTAGATCTCGGGTGTGGCCCCCAGAGGCAGCTGCACGCTCATCTCTGCCCGTGATGTGCCAAGTATGTCCACAGAGCATTCCAGAAGGGGCTCAGCTGGAGTGAGGGAGAGGGACCCTGTGCATGTGTGCAGGGGTTTGGGGGGGGTGCAGCTGCTACCCCTGGGCATGACGGGGAGCCCCCTGGCTGACCAGAGTCCAGATTCTCACTAAACCCTTCTTTTAAAATTTTTGTTTCTTTGGGGGTCACACCCCACTGTGCTCAGGGCTCACTCCTGATGAGGCTCAGGGGGCCAAGGAAGCGTGATGGGGATTGAACCTGGGCTAGCCACAGGCATGGCAAATGCCCTGCCCACAGCATTATGGTTCTGGCCCCAAAATTCTTCTTTTTTTAAAAAAATTTATATATTTTTTGCTTTTTGGGTCACACACGGAGATGTGCAGGGGTTACTCCTGACTCATGCACTCAGGAATTACTCCTGGCGGTGCTTGGGGGCCCTATGCAAGGCAAACGCCCTACCCGCTGTGCTATACTTCCAGCCCCAGAACCCCGTCACTTTTTTATTGTGGTGGTTAGGGCGGGTGGTTTGGGCAACATCTGGAAGTGCTCAGGGATCACTCCTGGTGGAGCTGGGGGAAACCTATGTGATGCCGGGGGCAGAATCTGGCCCTGCCAGATGAGCCCCTTAACTCCAGTGTTCTCTCTCCAGTCCTGCTCCGCATTTCTTCCACATCTCTGTAATACCTGGCTTCCTGCTGGCCATCATTTCCTTCCAGTGATGGACATGGTGCCCGTGTCCTCTGCAGTGAAGGCTCCCCCCGCCACTCCCCCGGGGATGGAGTCCAGGGGACCACCTACCTCGGCGCAGAGTATGAGGACTGGGGCCGGCAGAATTGTGCACGGGGCCGACGGAGAGCTGGTGGGCGCCGGCTGCTGGTTGGGCTGCTGTCGGGCCGGGGGCCATCTGACTACTGTTTCTCCCGGGGGCGGGTGCAGGCACGGGGGCGGGTGCAGGGTCCTTGGGTTTGGGAGGACTGCGGAGAGCATATAATCAGATTAGGCGCCAGGCAGTGCCAGGCAGAAAAGCGATGTGTGCTGTAGAAAAGGAGCGATTCTGGCCAGCAGCCCGCCCGGGCAGGCCAGGGGCTGACCGGAATCCCAGGAAGCTAGAGCTGGGCCCTTATCTGGTACCATACCCGGGACCACCGGCAAGGGGCAGGGGGTTTGCGGGCACTGGCCTCTGCTCACCTACTCTGCCCCCCACACAGCCTGACACTTCACAGCTACCCCCAATCCCAGCATCTTGTTCAGCTGCTCTTGACTGCATGCGCTCAACCATGGAAGAGCTCTTGGGTTTGGAAGTAACGTGACTGGGTGGGGCACACGTGCTGTGGAGAAAACTAAGCAGAAGATGTGGCAAAAGGCTGGCACTCAGGCTGGCACAGCGGGTAGGGCATTTGCCTTGCATGCGGTCAACCGGGGTTTGAGTCCCAGCATCCCATATGGTCCCCTGAGCACTGCCAGGAGTAATTTCTGAGTGCAGAGCCAGGAGTAACCTCTGAGCATCGCCGGGTATGACCCAAAAAGCCAAAAGAAAACACGGTTGACACTCTAAACCAGGGTCGTCCCAACTGGACGAAAGCAGATGTTGGAAATATGGGGAGGGGAGGCAGTTGCCTTAGGCTTCTTGCCCAGGACCTGAGACACTTCTGGCAGCTCCCGGCTGTCAGAGGCACTGGGAACTCAAGGCCAGGGAGTGAAATGGGCACAAAACTATCTACAGACTCTCACGACTTCAGAGCAAATCAAGAACCGGTATTTTACGTGTCATTTGCAGTGAAGACTAATGACTCTCAATGTATTTAGCATGACCCTGACAAGAGAGGTGAATTGGCCAAGGCCTTTTTTAATCCCTCAAACAAAAACTTTCAAGTTCAAGCCAAAAGCTGGGAGCAGTCCCTCACCAGGAGTGTGGCACTCGATTCCAAAGCAAAGAGGCATGACGAAGTCTTACTTTCGACCCCAAAAAGGTCAACTCCCCCAAATCTCGTGTGTGCTAAAGAAGTCGGAATGTCTGCCAACCTGGACTCTCGAGATCGTGAATGAGTTCTTCAGCACCTGGCATCTCTTAATTAAACGCTGCCAAGTGATCAGATTTTCTCATCACTCATCTTATGTGTTTATGTAAACTCAAGTAATCATACTCCATATTAATTTACAGAGAAAAAATTTTCAAATGTTTAGTAAAATTTTATGCCTGCATTGTATTCCCATGATAAAACAGGCTTGTCTATCTCTTAAAATTTGCTCCTTAATAAAATTTTTTTCTATGTTGGTAGGTTATTTTATCTTAGTATGATCTTTCAAATCATAAAACTTCTTGTGACATTTTTGTCCAAAAGTGAAGAGAGCTTTGCATATGTAAATATGTAATTCTTCCAGATATTTAAAACCTAGGGTTGGAGTGATAGCACAGCGGGTAGGGCATTTGCTTTGCACGCGGCTGACCCGGGTTCTATTCCTTCGTCCCTCTTGGAGAGCCCAGCAAGGTACCAATAGTATCCCGCCTGCACGGCAGAGCCTGGCAAGCTCCCCGTATTAAATATGCCAAAAACAGTAACAAGTCTCACAATGGAGACAATACTGGTGCCTACTCGAGCAAATCAATGAACAATGGGAGGAGTGTTTTTTAAAACCTATGCCAGCTATTTCTATTAAAATGTTGTAAAATAAGTAAAAAAAAAAAAAACAAACAAACAAGAAGAAGAAGTCGGAATGTGCAAAGCCTTGAGTGTAGCTAGGAGATTTTAGCTTTCACTTTTTTTTTTTTTTTTGCAGTGCCAGGAGCATCAAACCTACACACACAAGGCCGGGTCTCCACTGAGATTTGCAGGAGATTTTTTTTTTTTGCTTTTCGGGTCACACCCAGTGATGCTCAGGGGATGCTCCTATCTCTGCACTCAGGAATTACTCCTGGCAGTGCTTGGGGGACCATATGGGATACTGGGGCTGGAACCTGGGTTGGTCTCATGCAAGGCCTCATGCAATGCCTTACCTGCCATACTATGGCTCAGACCCTTTCATGAGATTCTTATCTCTGCAGCTCTTTGCGTCACACAGTGGTCCAAGGGAGAGAGCCCTTTCCTAAAGCTAATTCTGCCCTGATGAAAAGCTGGGCCAGAGAGACCATCGAAGTTTACTCGATGCCTAGACTTCTGTTCCACAGGACCATTTTGTGTTCCAGTGATGGCTAAAGTGGAGTGACAGAAACTCCTCCCCTGCAGAGCAGCTGCCAGCTGGGACCCCTGGTAGACCCAAGTGAGGTGGCCTCTGGTGGCCTCTGGTGGCTATTGGCCCTGGTCAGGGTAAAGAACTGAACGGACTCCAATTCAATTCTCAGGCCCGATGGTGCATTTCAGGGTGGTCGTCAGACCCCACTGGCGGGGGCTAAACCTGAGTCAGAGCTCTGGGGCAGGGGGCCACTTCCCATCCCATCTTCCCATCTTCCCGAGAGGGGCTGGTGTTAGTCGCCCAGCGCACGCAGCACAGAGACCGCAGGGGTTAGTGACAGGAAGTTGGACGGGATGGGCGAAGGAAGCCACGAACAAGGAAGCGGGTCCACGGATGAATGTCGGGTTCATGCTGTGGGAGCTGACTGGCGACATTCAAGCGCTTACAACCGTCAGCCTACTGGACAGGGTGATGGCAAGCCAACGGCACCCCGACACTGGGTCATGCCTCGGGCAGGTGGGCAGAGGTAACCGCAGTGTGGTATAGGGAGAGCAAGGGGGCGTGGCTGCCCTCTGGACACAGCAGAGGAAGCAAAGTCTCATGCACCCTGTGTCGGCGAGAGGAGCAGGTTAGCCTCCTGGTACTGTGGCCACAGGCGAGTACCTGCAAGAAGGCTGGGCCGTCCGGCACCCCCGCCCAGCAGGAGCTGGCCTTCTTACCTGCCATCGCCTGGGCATGGCCCCTGCTCCAGCATGCCCGCAGAGTTGGGGACCGTCCCACCCCCGGGGCTGCTCTCAGCCCTAGAGCTCTGGGGAGGGGGCTCTGGGCCCGCTGGAGCCAAGGAGATGCCATCCGTAGGCGGGAGTGGCGGCTGGAAAGCGGGGGAAATGTGCTTTCTAGTTAGGGTGCCACCCCGCCGGTGGGCCTGGAAGTCCATAAGCTTCACACCAAAGCTACACGGAGAGAAGAAACAGTCAGCACACCATGCGCACCGGAAGCCCTGCGGGCCCACGCGGCCAGCCCACAGGGCGACAAGCCAGCTCCGCGCTACCCGGCATGCAGGGGGACGCGGCGAGCCACCACTGGGGTGGGTGCCACCAAGACAACCCGTCCCTCTGTGTGTGTGTGTGTAGCCAGCAGGCAGCCACCAGGGGACAGATGTGAGGCCAGGCCGGTGTTTCTCTCCATCTTGCCCCCATGCGTGTGTTGGAGGGGGGAGGCTGGAAGGTGAGGCCACACACCCTCTGTCCCGTAGGGTGCCCATGCTGGCCTGAGCGCATCTGCCCTGTGCATGTGGAAGGAACTGAGGTGGGAGAAGACCCAGGGCTCTGGGGAAGGGGCTGGTGGCCCCATGTGAGTCAGAGGAAGACTCATCTTTCCGGGGAAGCCTGTGGGTATGTGTGCTTCGAAAAATTTTCAGTTCAGAAGAGAATCTGCAGGCTGGAGCAATAGCACAGGGGTAGGGCGTTTGCCCTACTCCTGCCCAGCATCCCATAGGGTCCCCCAAGCACCGCCAGGAGTAATTCCTGAGTGCATGAGCTAGGAGTAACCTCTGTGCATCACTGGGTGTGACCCAAAAAGCAAAAGCAAAAAAAAAAAAAGAAAAGAGAATCTGCTGCGCCATGCCAGGAGCTAGTGTGTGCAGGCTGTGCAGGCTGGGGCGGGGCAGGGAGATGCCATCCCAGCAGCAACACAGGCCTGTGGGCCCCGCCTGCCATGATGTCAGATGTGCGAAGTGGCCGCGGCCACATCTGACGAGGCTTGGCTGGGCACGAGAAGCTTCTGTGTGGGGGAAACATGGATTCAGGGCATCAGAGCAAAGGGAAGCTGGTTGCTTTGTTACAGGCTTAATAGGCGGGAGCCAGCTTCTCCAGCTATGTCCAGGAAGCGGCCCTGGAAGCTTGGGTGTAGCGCCCACGTCGAACGGTTACATGTCAGCACGGAAAGCACACACACGGCTCCTGCGGGATCCCTGGGTCAGCCCACTACAGTGGAATTTCATCTCGCATGTGGCGGAGGCTGGCCACGGGAAAGCAGAGAGCCCAAACAGCCTTCGGGGGCCCCGGGCACCCCACAATGCATGCAATGAGCCAGCGTGGAGACACACTGGCCCATGTCCTCCCTTCTGGGAAGGGCCAGCGAGGCAGCGCCCGGGGAACATGAACATGAAGGCTGGCACTCAGCAGGGGCCAGTGATGGCAAAAATATTTCTCCCAAGACACCGAATCCCATAGCTCACTGGGAGGGGTGGGCGGGGGGTTCCACTCTGGCTGCTGGACATCTCTATCCACCGTCCTCCTCCGCCCGCCAGTCCATCCCGGCGAGCTTGGAGCAGGCACTCATGCCATTTGTTCCACTGTAGGGCTTACCGGACCCCGGGGAAAGCTCGAAAGCACATGGTGGGAAGTGTTAACTGATGAGCTGCACATCTAGTGGACGGTTAGACTCACGTTTGGAGCAAACTATCATAGACTTCCGGAAACTCCCCAAATGCCAAGAGCTGGGACGAATTGGGGGATGCTGACCATCCAGGGAGGCAAAGGGGCACTGTCTTGGTGCAAGCCCACTGCGCCCCCCACGCCAAGGGCCGGACCCTTCTCCTCGGGACGTCTGCTAAGGCAGGAAGGGGCCCCCGGACGCACCTCTCCTTCTTCACCAGGTCCCCTTCCATCACTGCCATGCTGGCCGGCCGCTTCCTCTCCAGGGTGCACGAGTCAGACTCGTTTCCAGTGTGGGAGGAGGAGTGATTGGAATTTGGGGTGGCAAGAGGCACGAATGCTTCCGACACGTTAAATTCCACCTCTGTGGAAGAAAAAGAAACAGGCCGATGTGAGCCATGGTGCTGAGGGGGGGAGGGGAGGGGAAGAGCACTCAGGCTCACGAGACCCCCGGGGCCCGGCAGCAGACCAAAAAAAAAAAAAACCCAAAAAACAACCATCGTGGACACAGTGGGGCATGACAAGCATGGATCACGTGTTGGCATTAGAAGGGCAGGGAGAGTTACAGCCCGATAGGAAATCACAATAGAAGGGCAACTGCAGACTTTTCTTTGCAAAGAAGCTCCTGGCCAAGGGGCAATGGCGACACACTCCAGCGCCTTTCAGTGGAGGTGCCAGCCGGGCTGTTGTGGGGGACCCCGGTGCCCAACCTCTGCCCAGTCAGTGCCCTCAAAGGGGGCCAGGGAACCCCTGCAGATGCTGCACTGCGACAGACGTGGTCTAAGAAAACTGTTCACCTCCAGGATGAGACCCCGATTCTCATGTCCCCCTGGGGCGGCCACAGTTCGCAGTCTCCAGCTGGGAATGGATCGAACCCTCTGCCCAGGGTGTCAGAAGGTCTGTGCCAGGGCTGGGGGACAGCTCAGGGCTCGGGGGACATGTGCTGAGGTGCCGTAGAGGTAACCTTCAGGCTTCCTCAGGATGGCCTGGGAGTGCCCCCCTCCCAAAAAAGAAGGAAGCAAAGCCTTCTCAGGAAGAGCCCTCACACAGCCAGTGCCCGCTCTTCTCTAAAGCAACCCCCAGCTTCCTGTGCCAACACGTGCCCCAGTCATTTGACCTTCCAGCGGGCCAGGTGTCACAATCCCTCTGTGTATGTGGCCTCCTCCCAGGGCCTGGGTTGGTCCGGGGAGCCAACAATGTGGCCCCCACTTTAGTGGCCAGTACCACCACCACTCCTGAGTGCGAAGGCAGAGTCTGGAAAGAAATCTGGGGGCCAGGAAGGCGATCAGAAAGGAATTTCTCCATCCTTTGCTTCCCCCTGCCCCCTTCCATTTTTTCTTTCTTTTTTCTTTTTGATTTTTAAGACCACGTCTGGCAGTGCTCAAGGGCTGCTTCTAGTCCACTGACTGGGGGACCGTGTGGTGTGGGAGACTGAATCCGAGACTCCAGATGCAAAGCCTGAGCCATCTGCTGGGAACCTATTTTCTTTTATAAAAAGACAATTTCAAGGTCGCCCCGAATATCACATGGAGTGATGCCACCCCTTGCCCGCCCAAAAAAGAACCCACAGAGCTGGGAGTGGCCACTGAGCACCACCCAGTGTGGCTAAAGTTTAACACCCACCAAAAATTACTGAATCACTGTTATCACTGTCATCCCATTGTTCATTGATGTACTTGAGCGGGCACCAGTAACACCTTCATTCATCCCAGCCCTGAGATTTTAGCAGCCTCTCCTTACTCATCTTCCCCAACGCTGCCGTATTAGAAGCTCTTTCAGGGTCAGGGGAATGAGACTTGTTATTGTTACTGTTTTTGGCATATTGAATACGCCACGGGGAGCTTGTGAGGCTCTGCCGTGCAGGCGGGATGCTCTTGGTAGCTTGCCGGGCTCTCCAAGAGTCATGTGTGTGTGTGTGTGTGTGTGTGTATGTTGTGTGTGTGTGTGTATATATATATATCATATATATCAGGTATGTATGTATATATCATGTATGTATGTGTGTATGTATGTATATATACAGCTATATGTACACATACATACATACATTTCCCTCTATGATTCCCTCTATGATTTCCACCAAAAATAAATGAGTAAATAAATAAAAAGATGCTTCTGGGGCTGGGGAGAGAGCCACGAGCTCAAGCCTGGCTTGATCCCTGGCACCAAAGAATCCCCAAGCACAGCCAGGGCCCAAGAGCTTAACGTCCCACCTGACTGAAGGAGAATTGCCGGGAGTGGCCCCCAGACCCCCCTGAACACCACTCAGGAGGCCCCTGGCCCTCACACAGGAGGCTTTCAGGGCCAGGCATATGGGTCAGGAATAGAGTATATGCCTCTCTGTGTAAGACCCTGGGTTCTATCCCTGGCACCAGATACACACACACGCGCGCGCGCGCGCGCACACGCATGCACAAAGTGCACGCATTTTCAACTATGAGATTGTGCGACTCGGCCATCACCTCCGGGGAAGAACCAGTCAGCATGCTGGATGATGGGCTCGATCACCGCGACCACATGGACGGACGTGGCAGCTGCCATCTCAGCCAGCGTCCTGCAAGAGAAGGCCACGGTGTTAGGGCCGGGGGGCCGGCCGGGTCGGGGCGCTGCCATCCCAAACCAAGGCGAGACCAAGATGAAATTTACAAGGCCCCGGCCTGTGAGGGGGTCCCAACTCGACCCTTGGAGGAATAAGCTGTAAACGGTTTAAACTGTCCCAACCATATGGCAGCAGCTGCTTGTGCTCGGGCACAGAACTAGCAGACCCGGGAAATGCTACTTTTCTTCTCTCTCTTTTTATTTTGGCGTTTTGGGGTCACACCCAGCAATGCACAGGGGTTCCTCCTGGCTCTGCATGCAGGAATGACTCCTGGCGGTGCTTGGGGGACCCTATGGGATGCCAGGGATTGAACCCGAGTCAGCCACATGCAAGGCAAACGCCCCGTCCCGCTGTACTATAGCTCCAGCCCCGAAACGCTGCCTTTCAGCTGCAGGGAAGGAAACAGCTCTCTGAAGCCCAGGAGCCAGGCCAGACAGCGCCGGGTGCTGGCCGAGGCACAGCTCGGCCAGAATGGGGCTCATGCGGTACTTTCCAAGGCTTCCTAAGCATCGCTGTTTGTCTGCATAAGGGGGTGTGTGCTGACGGCTCACTTACCCTTCATTTTTGGCCCATAACAAGTTAGGGCCCAATACAATCGCAATGTTGCTGGGAGTCATCTTATTAATGTCGCTGGTCTGAGCAAGCTTGGCAAGGAACTTGATTAAATACCTATGAGACAAGAGAGACGGCACTGGCTGGAGCACCTGCTGGGATTCCCCACCCTCCTGCTCAGGGCTCAGGCCCAGTCCACGGAGGTGCTGGTACCTGCAGAGTGTCACCTGATCAACATCTGGTTTATTTGTTTTTAATAAAAAAAGCTTATTTTTCTTTAGAACTTCCTTTCAGGTGTTACCCTATCCGTTATACTTAGAAAACCCATTTTAAGATATCCCCAGATATATTTGTAGAGCTTATCACAATGGCATCTAGCACCAAATTTTGTAGAGCTTATCACAATGGCATCTAGTATCAAACCTGTCATAAAGCGATAATAACCTAGGCAGCTCTGCATGTTCATTGCAGCACTGTTCACAACAGCCAGAACCTGGAAACAACCCAAGTACTCGAGAACAGATGACTGCTTAAAGAAACTTTAGTACGTCTCCACAATGGAATACTATGCAGCTGTTAGGAAAGATGAAGTCATGAAATTTGCTTATAAGTGGATGGTCATGGAGAGTCTCATGCTGAGTGAAATGAGTCAGAAAGAGAGGAACAGACATTGAAGGACTGCACTCATTTGTGGAATATAAAATAACATAATGAGACTGATACCCGAGGACGGTAGACACAAGGGTCAGGAATATTGTCCCATAGTTGGAAGCCTGCCTCATGAGCTGGGGGAGAAGGCAGCTGGAATAGAGAAGGGATCACTAAGTCAGTGATGGTTGGAGGAATCGTTCGGGAGGGGAGACGTGCTGAAAGTAGATAAAGGACCAAGCATAGACCTCTCAGCATCTGTATTGCAAATGCAAAAGTAGAGAGAGAGTATGGGGGAAACTGTATGCCATGGAGGCAGGGAGATGTTGGAAGGGGGGTATACTGGGGACATTGGTGGTGGAGAATGTGCCCTGGTGGAGAGATGGGTGTTCGATCATTGTATGAAATGAACGCTATCAAACATGAAAGCTTGTAACTGTAGCTCACGGTGATTCAATGGGAAAAAAACAAACAAACAAACAAACTAGGCAGCTCATGAAAGTGAGATTTACTCGACCAAGGCCTCACTTCCCCGAGTGTTCAGATTCAGCCCGTCCCAGCGAGAGCCACCCTCAGCATGCTGTGTTCGGGGGTGGGTGTGGGTGTGCTGCAGAGCTGGGGATCAAACCTGGGGCCTCTCGCGTTCCAGGCACGTGCTCCGCCACTGTGAGCCATTGCCCCAGCCCCTGCCTTTTGGATTGTGGACCCTGACACTGTGCTCGCCACTCCAACACCCGTTCGCAAAAATTACGAAGAGCAAATAAACACATCCGAGGGCGAATCTCTAGGTGTCAGGAACGGAAGTGTGGTTTCCAGCGTAAGGGAAGGGGGTCTTCTAGCACTGGCTCCAGGTCAGGGGTGCCACAGGGTAAGCAGCAAGCTCGAGCCACTCACAGGGCGAGTCGAAGGAGGGGTGAGACAGGAAATGCAGCTCAACTGAGTGGCCAAGGCGGCAATTGTGTTTAAAGGTCAGGCCGCACAGGAGACTCGTTGCCAGTCAAGCGCTTGTGGTTTGGGGACCCAGTCTTCTCATGAACGTGAATTTCGCTCGGAAATGTCTTTATCAGCTGGGGCTATTCTAGGCTTTTCCCAAATTCCATTTAAAGCCAAAGAAAAGGTGAGAGGGTCAATTTCAGAAGCGTTCCATAAGGGCCAGAGTGATAGTATAGCAGGGAGGATAGTACAGCCTTGCATGTGGCCAACACGGATTCGATCCCCAGCATCCTGTATGGTTCCCCAGGCACTGCCAGGAGTGATTCCTGAGCACTGAGCCAGGAGTAACCCCTGAACATCGCCGGGTGTGGCCCCAAACCAAAACCAAACACCAGTTCCATAGTAAATGTTCCTAGAAAATAGTTACTTTGATGATATACTCTCCCATCTCTTGAAATTTTATTTGCAGGAGGATTTCTGCTCCATTCCATTTTATTTATTTATTTATTTTTTGGTCACACTGGCAACGCACAGGGGTTACTACTGACTTTACACTCAAAAATTACTCCTGGCGATACTCGGGGGACCATATGGGATGCTGGGAATCGAATCCAGGTTGGCCGGATGCGAGGCAAACGCCCTCTCCTCTGAACTATCGCTCTGGCCCCTCTATTTAATTTTTCTGAGATGTGAAATATGAAAAATTCGAAAGATTCATGCAAATATGAAAGATCCTATGAAAGTACCATCATACATTACTTGCTACCCTTTACATATGGCGAGGGCCAGATTGTTCAGTGCGCAGGCCCAGGGGGGCTGAGAATCACAGGGTTCCTTAGCAGGACCCAATGGGCCACGTGGTGCTGGTTTTGCCCTCAGGGGCCTGTGGTTGGCAGATGCACTCGAGCCCCTGGGGTTCTCTCCCGGGACAGACTCAACAGTCTCTAAACATGCCAACCATGCCTGGACCCACCATTCTCCCAGTTGGGGACTCACCCCAGGCCCCTGGGCTCTCGTCACCAATGTCTGGGATGGAGTCTGCAGGACGATGACCGTACGTACCTAAAGTTCACAAAGTTGTGCGTAGGCAGCTTCTGGCATATCGTCCACAAGTCCTGAAGTTTTTTGTCTTGATCCTGCACACTGAGAAACAGAACATGTCACTCGCACCCACTCTGCGGCGCTGTCTTGACCCACTCTCCTCTGCGGGGCGGAAAGGGCAGTCTCTCTCCACAGATGGAGACAGGACAGGAAGAAGAAGAGGCAGAGGCCGGATTTGGGGCACGGACAGATCTGGAGCCTGACACCACCCTTCTAGTGCTGAGCAGTGAGTGGACTTCACCAAGCCCATCCCTGCTGAGTAAGATGGGAGAAGCAGCTGGGGCCGCCCAGGGCACCAGCAGAACCACCGGCACCGAGGCCGGCCATAGGGACACAAGATGCTCCAGGAGATTCTCTCTGTATGTGCTCCATGGAGCATGAATCTCTGATAACAGCACAGTACAGTAAGAGATGAGTCAGCCAAGCTCAGAGCGTCCTGCCCTCAGGCTTTGCCTGCTCCAGGCTTTGAGCCTGGAAGAGGAATTCTGCAGCCAGGAAAATCCTTCCCTTCCAAAAGCAAATGAGGGGCTGGATTCAGATTTCCAGATACCCCAAAATTGCTGCTGTGCCTTTGGCCAGACCCCAAAAACTTGGGGCAAAGTTTACCAAGAAAGTAAATGGCCAAAAGTTAGGTATGTGGGAAACACACCCACAAATCACCTCTGGCTCAGCTATATAATTGGAGGCATGGCCTCTCTGGTTCCTGATCGAACTGCTTAATGGACATGATCCCAGAGACTCAGAAACGAATCTCGGAACCCAGCGGCTTTAGGTAGAAATGCGTCTGGTCTCTGCAGTAGGCTACTGGTGCTGGGCCAACCCAGGTGGGAATAGGTTTCGTGCCTTGGCCTGTTCCCCCTGGCGGCCCAGTGGCCGCCATCCGTCTGAAGCCACTGGATAGTCACATTTGGGCCCCCAGCGACGACACACCGGGCCTCACGGGATGGGGGTGGAGCCGGGCTTGTCCTCCCCACCCCAACGAGACCCCAAGTCATCGCCCACGAATGGCCTCTCTGGCTCCTGATCCAGCTGCTTAATGGCCATGATCCCAGAGACTCAGAAACAAATCTCAAAACCCAGTGGCTTTTGGCAGACTCTATGTTACTGTCGCCGGGCCACCCCAGGGAGGAAAGGGTGTTGTCCCTCCGCCTGCTCCCTCTTGGCGACTTGGTGGCTGTCATCCTCCAGAGGCCTTTGGACAATCCGGCTTGGGCCCGCAGTGACAAAACTTGTTGGGCCTCACGGGATGGGGGAGGGGGGGAGCCGGGCCTGTCCTCCCCACCCCAACCAGACCCCAAGTCATCGCCCACGAACGGCCTCACTGGCTCCTCATCAAGCTGCTCAACGGCCATGATCCCAGAGACTCAGGAGCAGATCTCTAAACCCAGTGGCTTTTGGCAGAAATCCCTCCAGATTTAAGTGTTAAAATTTCGGAATTTCAAAACCACATGGCCCTACTGCAGCCACACGACATCATATGTTATTCATAACCAGCAATAGAACACAAATTGCCTATTGTTGCCTTTTCAGCAGATCTGAGTGTTGGAGTAAAATCTCTAATAATGGTGGGTCTGGTGTCGAAATAGTAAATGTGATCAAAGTAGAGAGAGTAATGTGGAAATCATCTGCCCCACAGGCAGGGGGAGGGTGTGGGATGGGGGTATACTGGGGTTGTTGGGGGTGGAGAAGGGGCACTGGTGAAGGTAGGGGTGTGGGTGTTTCATTGTATGACCGAGACTTAGACCCAAAAGCTTTGTAACTGCTCTCACGGTGATTCAATAAATAAAATTATAAAAAAATGGAATAAAAAAAGTAAGGTGGAGTTCATGCACAATTCAATCAGCTAATCAGTGGCTGAATAAATAGCAGTACTCCTACAAAAAAAAAGTAATCTAAAAAAAAAATTACTAAAAAAAAAAATGAGGTGCTGGAGCCATAGCACGGCGGGTAGGGCATTTGCCTTGCACGCAGCCAGAGCAGCTGACCCGGGTTCGATTCCCAGCATCCCATATGGTTCCCCGAGCACTGCCAGGAGTCATTCCTAGGTTCAGAGCCAGGAGTAACCCCTGTGCATCGCCAGGTGTGACCCAAAAATCAAAAACAAAAAAAAATTAAAAAAATAAGACAAAACAAAACAACAACAAAAGGCAAATGAGCAGAAATCTTTAACAGCAGGCGGAAAGGGAAGGAAGGGCCTGCATTGGGTTTGTCCTGCACTGGGTTGTGCTCTGCTGCCATAGAGTTCCGGCTGGCTGGCTTCTGAGAAAGGGCTGGGCTCGAGTGGGCGGGCAGGGAAGGCCTCTACCTGGCCTCCAGACCCCACAGATGACCTGAGTGGCGGGTCGCTGACACCAGTGCCAGGGACTAGCCACGAGGGGCCATGTGTGGCTACTGTTGGTGGTGAGAGAACACAGGGAACTTCTTGGAAGAGTGGATTCAGAACACAGGGAAGTGTCCGGGTGAAGGAGGCCAGAGGGCCACCTCAGGCAGCAATTGGGGTGGACACTGAGGACTCCCGGGGTCAGCCCCCTCGAGCACAGATGCTTGGGGTCAGCTCCCTCAAGCACAGGTGACTGCAGCACACGGGACCCTGAGTCGGCCCGAAAGGATACAGCAACCCCGGGCCAGAATGGACTTTGCTGCCACGACCCTCACAGGCGCTGGGGTCCAGGCTCTCGGTCCAGGGCCTCAGAGTGGGCGGAGGCGCATCTCACTCTGGGGAAGGGAAGCACCAGCCGCCTCTGCCTCTGGCGCCTGCCGGTGCCCCGGGCTCGGGGTGAGGCCTGTGGGTGGCCGTTCAGCCTGTTTCTCGGCCCTCTGTGGCCAGGGTGGCGGTTCCGGTGCTACTGAGACGCAGAGGCAGAGCCCTGAGGGAGATGGCAGGAGGCAGGTTGGCCGGCCAGAGAGAGGCTTCTAGAACCTTTTAACCAAGGCTGCCTGACTTAACCCAGCTACTCCAAGACAGAGACGGGGTGGGGAGGCAGGGTAGAAGGAGGAGCAAAGAACACAGGTGCTGAGCTGCCGAGCGAGCCTCCAGGTCAGCTGGGCTGAGCACCTCCGCTCCCGAGACCTGGTTCTTCCTCCGGCCTCCTCCACAGAAGGAGGACGGCAGCTCACACTCCTGCTCTTGCTGCCCGGGGCACAGGCACAGTGCTTGGCATGGGGGCAACTGTGACTATGAATTACATACGGGTCAGGGCGGCGCCAGGTGTGAGGCCCAGCACTCTTGTCCCTGTGAAAGGGGTTTGCAGGGACCCGTGGGGTCCCACTGTATATTCTGTTTTTGTCTTTTGGGTTTTTTTGCTTTTTGGGTCACACCTGGCGATGTGCAGGGGTTACTCCTGGCTCTGCACTCAGGAATTACTCCTGGCAGTGCTCAGGGGACCCTATGGGATGCTAGGTATTGAGCCCAGGTTGGCTGCATGCAAGGCAAACACCCTACCTGTGTGTTATCACTCCAGTCCCCCGCTGTGCATTTTGTTGGCTGGTTTGTTTCTTGGTGTGGGGACTTGGGGGGCCACACCCGACAGCGCTCAGGGCTTCTTCCTGGCTCTATGCTCAAGGATCACTCTAGCAGGGCTCAAGGGGCCACATGGGTGCTGGGCTTGGGGGAAACAGACGGGGTGCTGGGGATCAAACCCAGGAAGCGTCTTACCCACTATGTCTCTCTCCCTATAAATCATGATGCCTCTGAGCTGCCACACGCAAAGTGACTTTACCACACTGATCCTTCTAAAACCCAGTATCTGGACTCTCCACTGAAGAACAGGGGCGCGCATCATTAATCAATAGTAAGGTAAAAAGGTAAAGGCCCTCCCGTTGATCGTCGATTTGCTCGAGCGGGCCCAGTAACGTCTCCATTGGAGACTTTGTTGTTACTGTGTCTGGCATATCGAATACTCTCGGTAGCTTGCCGGGCTCTCCGAGAGGGGCGGAGGAATCGAACTCGGGTCGGCCATGTTGGCCGCTTGTAAGGCGAACGCCCTACCGCTGTGCTATCGCTCCAGCCCACAGTAATCAATAACGTCATTCTCAAAGAGTGAAACAGTACCTTAGTAGTCCTTCAGGAGGGCCGAGAGTTAAAGGATGAGCAAATGGGATACAGTACGTTGCTTCCTTGAACTTTTGAAACTCAAGGGCTCCTTCAACTTACCTGGCAACTTGGGTCCACTCTTCATACAGGTGAAAGGTCATCAGGGGTTCAGGGAGTTCGCGCAAATAGGACTTCAGAGCACCTGGAAGGGTTAATATTTGAGCATGAAGAATGGGAGGGCAGGAATCCTGGGACATATTGGGAGGCACCATGAGATGACCACGGTGACAATCTTCCCAAGTTCTGAGAGCACATCAGGATTTGGCAGAAGTGGCTAGGAAGAGCTGGAGTTATGGCACAGCGGGGAAGGCATTTGCCCTGAATGCGGCTGACTCGGGGTTCAATGCTCGACATTCCATAGGGTCCCCTGAGCACCGCCAGGAGTAATTCCTGAGTACAGAGCCAGGAGTAAGCCCTGTTCATCGCTGGGTGTGACCCAAAAAGCAAAAAAAAATGGTTAGTAAATGAAATGCTGCTGAAACAGCTTCTACTCCTTTCAGGACCTGTTGAGAGATTGAGTGGAGAGATCCAAGAAATTGAGACGAGTCAGAGGAGTTCAAAGCTCTCGTAGTCTAGTGTCTAGGCGGATCCAGATGAGAGGGGCCGAAAGGAGGAAGGAAAACACTAGGTCACCTTCACAGATTCGGGTTACCTCGACCATCCTCTTGACTTCAACACGAGGAAAATAAGTGGGAATGGAAAGGAAAAAACATACAGAATTATGTGAGTGTGTGTGTGTGTGTGTGTGTGTGTGTGTGTGTATGTGTGTGTGTGGACAGGTTTTACCCATAGTCATGCAAACCTAGCAAGAGATAACTTCGGGGCCAGACCAATAGCACAGCGGGTAGGACATTTGCCTTGCACATGGCCAACCAGGGTTCGATTTCTGGCATCCCATAGGGTCCCCCGAGCACCGCCAGGAGTAATTCCTGAGTGCAGAGCCAGGAGTCAGTCCTGAGCATCACTGGTTGTGCCCCCCAAAGCAAATAAATAAATAAAACTTCACAGGCTGGGGAGATGATACAGTGGGTAGGCTGCTGGCCTTGCATGTGGTTGACCTGGGTTTGGTCCCCAGCACTGCGTATGGTCCCCTGAGCCCCACCAGGAGCGACCCCTGAGCACAGAGTCAGGAGAAGCCCCGCACACAGTCAGACGTAGCTCCCGAAACAAAACAAACATTAAAAAAAAAAAGACGACTTCCGCTTCTCTGTCCCTGAGATCTGTGAGTAAAGCTAGACGTTTACTGGCGAGCTGGTCTCCAATAGACTAGTTCGGGGCTTCCCGGGTTTTCTTGTCTGTGACCCTGTTTTGCCTGACCCCAGGAATATAAAGGAGGGTCGTGCATAATAATAAACGATACACTTCGCTGAAACGTTTGGGACCCCAGTGAACACGACCCCATCTACAGTCACCACCACCCCCCGCCCCTCTGGATTCAGCAGCGGGGGCCCCAGCCCGGGTCCTTGGGGCTCACCTGCCACGGCATGGGGGTCCGAGTAGAACTCGTCCAGGTGAGACGTGGAGCAGTCGAGAGCCGCCTTGAGTCTCTTCAGCTTGGAGGCCCCGGCCCCGATTCGGAAAAGGCCCTGGGGTGGCGACAAGCCTCAGCAGCAGGCCCACACTGGCGTCCCCCGCCCCGAGCCTTCCCTGCTGCGTCAGAGCTGCACAGGCCCAGCACCCTCCCCGTACCCCGCGTGTCCCCTGGCATGGACACCCATGGGCTGCGTGGAAGCCCGCCCCCTGCTCCTGCCCACGCTAAACACCCCGGCCTCTCAGCTCTTCAAAAGCAATCTCTGCTATATTCCCACCAGGCTGACGGCGAGAGAGCTTCAAAATGAAGCATTAAAAAAAATTATATATATATATATATATATGGAAGGGAACCTGGGACACTGGTGCTGGGAAATGGACACTGGTGGAGGGATGGGCGTTGGAACACTGTATGACTGAAACCTAATCATGAACAGCTTTGCAAGGGTCTATCTCACAGTGGTTCAATTAATATATATATATATCTCCATATACTGACATCTCGAGATAAGTGGCTAGAGCAGGCCGCTAATCCCTTTCAGCGCTTTAACTCGGGCGGGACACGAGGTCGGGAAAACACAGGCAGAGTCTCAAAGGTCCGAGTCCAGGGGCTCTGCGTCTCAGTGGCACCAGCACTCGCGGAGGCGGGTGTTCCTGGGGACGGGTCTCTGTGCAAGCAGGACGCGGGGCAGAACCCCCGGTCTCTGGCCCCAGGAGTGGCCTCCCTCCTTCCCCAATGGCCCCTGCCCTCACCAAGTATCCCCAAGGGGATAAAGCTGGCCTTGGCCCTGGACGAGGAGAATCGGGCTGGGCGACTAGAGTGAGAGTCACTGGGGAGGGGGAGGGGGACAGAAGGGAGGGGGAGGGGGAAGTGCGGGAACGGGGGAGGGTCCGTGGGCAAGCATTATCAGGTGGGCACCCAAACCAAGAGAAATAAATAGAATTTAAAAATGGATTAAAAGTAAAACAGAAACCAGAGACACTGATTCTGCCTCAGCCCCAGCGGGGCCTCCTGTTACTCACAGAAGGACCCCCCGGATGAAGGCTGCAGAGGCCCCCAGGGAACTGCAGCCCCCCTCCCTCCGTGTCGCTCCGCCCCAGCAGAGTCGGCGGGTGTGTGAGGGAGACTGTTGGGCCTCGGAGGGAGCACTGATTGGGGAGGACTCCATCCCGGGGCACCTCCTCCTGAGGGGAGACCATTGAGCCTCAAGGGAGCACTGACTAGGGAGGACTCCGCCGTCCCGGGGCACCACCTCCTTCAGCTCGGAGAGGTGCGGGGAGCCAGGCTGGGGGCTGGGGGCGGGGGGCAGGGGCTCACCTCCTCCTTCATGCCCGTCTCCAGGAGCAGCATGACACAGGCCTCGATGGGCAGTGCGATCTCCCGCCCGCTGCGCTTCAGGTGCTCCTCCAAGGGCGTCCCGAAGGCCGGCTTCTCTGCCCACTTATCTAGAGCGGCAGATTGTCCGGTGAGACCCCCAACCCCCGCCACCCCCCCCCCCCCCCGGCTTGATTTTCTCCCCATGGCGCCAAAGGGAGTGTTCCTTATGGTCAATGATCTCTGAACAGACTCAGAGACGAAGATTGCGGGGGGCGGGGGGTGAGGGGGTGAACATCCCGCCCTCCCCCCACCCCGCGCGGCTTCTGCTACTCTGACAGGGACTGGGCAGATGTGCCTGGCTGGGGACAGGGCTCGGGGCAGCCAACGCCAGGGGCCCGGATGAGGCGAAGCTGCTGACCCTCCCTCAACCAGCACTGTGTCCGCCCAGGCCTGCCCAAAGAGCTTCCGGGTTCCCGCCAAAGGGACCCTTATTCTAGCCACGCAAAGTGATGCGAGGGGCACCCCCATGCCCACCGGGGGAACCCTCCTCTGGTTTGAAACACAAGCCATGCACGGGCAGCGGGGGCAGGGGATAATAGCCAGCAGGCCCTGGTCTGAGCACGACTCTGAGCCATGCCAGGCACTCAGCAGGCCTCCATCCCCACCCCCTTCAGCAGCCCCGAGCACCCCGGGGAAGAGGTGGGGGGACAGCCATGCCCGCAGCCCCCCAGCAGCAGGAAAGTGGACTCAGACATTCCGTCCGGGTCAGGCACACTGCTTCCACTGGCAAGACACAAGGCAGCTGGGCAGCGCTTCCCCAGAGCAAGTGGGGCCCTGGAACCAGGACTGCACGAGTGCGTGTGTTCCCTGAGCACCGCGTTTCGGAGGAGTGTGTCAGAATCTCCCCGGGGGGCTCTGCCAGGGCACCAGCCCACTCCCCCACCTCCTGTCCTGCGGGGCCCAGAGGGTCTTTACACCCCTGCTGGGATATTTCAGGAGGCCCTGGGCCATGGGCCCCACCCCGCCACCTGGGGCAGCTGGCGGCAGAGACCCGAGTCCCCCCAGCCAAGTCCTCCCCTGGGCTGCGAAGGCCCCATGCAAACGCGCAACAGCACTGGACAAGACAAGACACGGTGTCCGAGCAGGGGCAATGGCACAGACGAGGGTCGCAAAAGCAGCCGCCCACCAGGCCTCTGGGGCCAGCAGGGGCGTGAGGGCCAGGTGCCCAGGGCCACGTGGGGAAGTTGGGCCAGACCTTCAGAACTCAAGAGACGCTGGTGATGCGGGCCACTACATGTGAGAGCGGCGGCCAGTGGTGGTTTTAAAACAGACAAACACTGATCCCAGTATCCCCCCCCCCAAAAAAAAAGACAGACAACATCCGTGAGGGATGAGCCACGGCCATTTGCGACAGCTGGTGTAGACTGCGGATGCAAGCGTGGGGCGGGGGGGGAGCTGAGTCCACACGGCTTCGCGGTCAGGGACGCTGCTCAAGCGGGGAGCGGGGCTGTGGCTGAGGAGGCGAAGACACGTGGCGGGGACTGGGCAGAGCCGAGGCGGGCAGGATGGACGGCTAGGGCAGGGAACCTGCGTTTTATTCACAGCTCACGCACAAGGGGGGCAGCCGGGGCGCAGCGAGAGGGAGAGTGGGGGGGAAGCAGGTGGGTCCCCGGGAGGGGCGGGGGGGGGGGGAGGCAGGAAAGGTGATACCAGCCTTTAGAAAGACACAAGGCAGAAGACGGACAGAGAATGAGAGCAAGGAAAGCTCGGCCAGCTGGGAGCGAGTTCAGGGGCTCCATGATGGGGAACCCCTTCAAGGTGGACGCCCAGGGGGGTCTGGGGAGCAGGGCACAGGGGCGAGAGAGGGAGGAAGAGTGCGCACCCAGGAGCAAGCACCAGGACAGAGAGATGCCCGTCCTGGCCTCCAGGGTGGGGACAGACGGACTTGACGTCAACTGGGAGATGGGAGGTGCTGCACAGCACACTTTGCGGCAAGGAAGAGAAGGCAGGGAGGCCGGGAGGAGCCGGGGCCTCTGAACCCACAGTGTTTGTCTCCCGTTCGCTTTCCTGCCCGTCTGTGGTGATGACCAGGGCCCAACACACTCTCAGCTGTGGTGCCAGGACTGAGCCTGGCACAGCCGGGGCGGGGGTGGGGGTGGGTGGAGGGGACCTCGACTCCCAGCCTCAGGGTGTTCGGTTCTGTGTGGTGGCTGGGCAGGAGGGTCGGGAGGAGAAACCAGAAAGCAAGGTCACGTGGAAGAGTGGAAGAGCGAAGAGAGTGGAAACAGCCCGCACCAAGGAGCCACTCCAGGCGTTAAGGGGATGACAAAAGCCAAGGCAGCTCCCTGGGAAACGCGTGGACAGGAGGGTTGCACTGAGGCTAGCAGACAGACTAGCAAAGGTCTGGGCACAGCAGGGCACCAGGCAGGTCTGGCTGGGCTTTGGTCTTCTAAAATATATATATATATATGTATATACATATATATATTCATTTTAAGGACATATTGGATCTTCTTGATAACAGGGAAGAAGAGAAAGGAAGAAAAATACAGGACTATTTAAAAAATAACGAAGAAAGAAAGACAGGGCTTGCTCCATGGACAGGCCGTGTGGGAGGAGTCTCAGGTGGAGGCGAGAGCCTCAGAGCAAGAAAGATGGTGCTCGGGGTCAGAGCGATAGCACAGCAGGGAGGCGTTTGACTTGAATGCGGCCGACCAGGCTTCGATTCCCGGCATCCCATAGGTCCCCTGAGCGCCACCAGGAGCAATTCCTAAGTGCAGAGCCAGGAGGAACCCCTGAGCATCGCTGGGTATGACCCCCCCCAAAAAAAATAAACCGACAAAAGAAAGATGGTGCCGTCCCCTCACTGGCTGTTCCCCGGGACCCTGACACACTGACTTCTCCCAGGTGGGAGAAGTGGGAGAAGACAAAATTGGGAGTTTGGGGATTCTCCCAAAAAAGAAAAAAAAAGGGGGGGCTGCTGAAAAAAACCAATCTCGTCCCTTCGTTGGGTTTCTCGGTCGGCTCCTCAAATCAGACCTCGGGCCAGTGAACAGCTCCGGTGCTGGCAGCTGCCAGCCCACCCAAGAGGGGTCCCGCACACAGCAAGGACCCCCAACATGGGCCCAGGGCTCTGGACTTGCCCACGAGCATCGTCCAAGTGGGGCCAAATGACCGCCCGCAGATTCACTCCTCTGCAGCCACAAACTGGGAGAGGGAGAGTGGTCGGCTGAGGCAGGGGTGCGGCTCCCACTTCGAAGAGTGCGAGGAAGCAGGGCCGGCGACGTGCCTGAGAGCAGGCACAGACCCCCTCGTTTCCTCACCCGAGCACCCACAGGCACAGCCCAGAACCTAACAGGGCTTCCCCAAATCCAGGGTGAGAAGGCGGCATTCTTTTTTTTTTCCTTTTTGGGTCACATCCAGCGATGCACAGAGGTTCCTCCTGGCTCTACACTCAGGAATTATTCCTGGCAGTGCTCGGCAGACCATATGGGATGCTGGGAATCGAACCCGGGTCGGCCGCGTGCAAGGCAAACGCCCTCCCCACTGTACTATTGCTCTGGCCCCAAAGGCAGCGTTCTTGAAGGGAGGAGTGCACGCACACACTCCAGCAGACATGCAGTCACAGAGCACATGCTCACTCCATCCCATGCATGGCACACACACGCTCCAGCATATGCATACTCATAGCACACACACTCTAGCGGCACACACCCACGGCACACGCACACTCACAACACACACATGGCAGCCATGTATCCTGGCCCATGCAGACCCATGGCACATGCACACCCTCATACACACACCCACAACACACGCACACTCCAGCACACACGCACCCTGGCACATGAGACCTATGGCACATGCCTACAGACGACGCACAACCTCAGTGCCCTCACAGCCATAGCACAACACACAGCCTTAGTATGTGCACACCCTCTGAATATGCACACACACAGCACACACACACACACAGAGCAGATGCACGCCCACAGCACATACACATCCTTAGCACACCCACACATCTTCAGCACACACACACCTATAGCACACACACATCCTCAGTACATGCACACCCACAGCACACACACACACACACACACACACACACCCTCAGCATACACACATCCTCAGTACACGCACACCCACGGTGCGCACACACCCACAGTGCACACACATGCGTCAGCACGCGCACACACACACACACACACACACACACACACACAGTACATGCACCCACAGCACCTGCTCCCCCATGCCAGGCTCACACGCACAGCCTAGCAGGGTGGCACACTCAATGCAGTGCTACGGGGAGAGCCGGAACTTGGAGTATCCGGGCTGGGCCACTGAACCACACCAAAATGAGTGGTCACTGAGCCACTGCTGCCCTGGCCGGCCGCCTCTCCTGCCCTGGGCAGACACAGGTTCTGGCGGGAACAGAACATCAGAATCTGGAACTAGAAAGCAAGAGCGGGCCCCAGCCTGTCATCAACTGCAGGCCCTAGGGAGGGACGGGAGCGGAGAGACAGCAGGGTGGGTTCAAGCAACAAGCCCATCCCCCAGATCAGGTGCCCCAAAGACCCTGTGTCAGCCCCCGGCCCCCAAACTTCCTCTAGGCCGGGCTGAAACACTTGACTAGGATGCATGTGCTTGGCATCCCGGGTGCAAGTGAAAGCTTCGTTTGGAAAAAGGTCACTGGAGGCCCTGATTTTCCAAGCCCCTTTAGAAGACACTGGCAACCCCCACCCCCCTGCCCCTGCCCTCTCCCCCCACCCCAACACGCACTCCAAGATCCCACTTTCTTTTCCACCCAAGATTCCAGAAGAATCGCAGAGGTTCCATTAGTGTGTTAGACTGGACTTGGAAGAAATTAGAGAAGGCAGCAAGGAAAGATGAAATGATGCTTAGACTAGGACCCTCCAGGGCAGACAGGCTTTATCCAGTGGAAATGCATGCAAATGAGCCAGGGGGAAGAAGAAGAAGAAGGAGAAGAGGGAGAAGAAGAAGAAGAAGAAGAAGAAGAAGAAGAAGAAGAAGAAGAAGGCAGACGTGGCAGAGGCAAGAGGAGGCTTTGGCCAGCACACCGGTTACATTACCTTGATGGGCGCGCATTTCGGGAAGGGCCTTTTCTAAGACTGCTAATGCTTTTCTATGGTAATCTGCTTGGGCTTCTAATAACTGAGAACAGACCCACATTCAAAAACAAAAGTAATGTTAGCATCAGATGGACACACACACAATGACCCAGCCAAACCAAAACCAAAATATTCACCAAAAAAAAAAAAAAAAGAAAAGAAAAGCTGAAATGACTCCATTTTCATAACGCTTTAACGCTCTGTTGAGGAAAAGCACGTACCGTCACAAAGAATTTGCCATACTCCCCTTCTTTGGCCATGAAGTTGTACATGTCAGCTGCAAGCTGGTCCTGGGAAGACGAGAGAGAGGGGCTGGAGTGATAGCACAGCAGGGAGGGCGTTTGCCTTGCACGCGACTGACCTGGGTTCATTTCCCAGCATCCCATAGGGTCCCCCGAGCACCGCCAGGGGTAATTCCTGAGTGCATGAACCGGAAGTAACCCCTGTCCATCACCGGGTGTGACCCAAAAAGAAAAAAAAAACTTTACCACTAGTTAGAAGTAACAGACAGACTTGTAGAATAACTGGGAAAATAATCTAGCAAATTCCTGGGTGGGGAGCGGGAGAGGTGGTCACAGGATGCAGGAAGAGTAAGCATCCATGTCGCAATTTCCCATCAGTCTCACAGACTTTCAGAAAACAGACTCAGCAGACTTGGAGTGATCCTAGATATCCGAGAGGGGGTCAAAGGCCACATGGCCATAGGGGACCACATGGGCTGAGGGACTGAAGCTGGGGCCCCTCATCTACGCTTTATTGAAAACATTCATGGGCATTTTTACCACACACCAACGTGGACTTTGTTACTGTGTCTGGCATATCCAATACTCTCGGTAGCTTGCCAGGCTCTCCAAGAGGGGCGGAGGAATCGAACTCGGGTCGGCCATGTTGGCCGCTTGTAAGGCGAACGGCCAACATGGCCGACCCGAGTTCGATTCCTCCGCCCCTCCCGGAGAGCCCGGCAAGCTACCGAGAGTATTCAATATGCCAGACACAGTAACAACAAAGTCTCCAATGGAGACGTTACTGGGCCCGCTCGAGCAAATCGACGATCAACGGGAGGGCCTTTACTTTACTTTTTACCAACGTGGACTATGTCTGAACGTTTTCCAACAACGTTTTAAATTCCCGGTTATATAGTCTTGGGAAACAGCGGAGAAAAAAGCGACCATGTGCCTCATTCACGGAGGACTGATGAGGATCATGACCGACTCTGAGCAATGTGTAGAATTTGTCCTTTCACCCAGAGTACAGCCGGGAGGGCACTCGCCTCGCCAGCGGCCGGCCCAGATTCCATCCCAGGCATCACACAGGCTTCCCTGAGTCCCACCAGGAGTGACCCCTGAACACAGAGTCTGGAGTAGCCCTGAGAAAGGCTGGGCATGGAACCTCCCCCCACCCCCCACTCATCCCTTACAAACAAAACGAAACAAAACAAAACATCAGCACGCATGCGTCCTTGCTGGGCAACCCTCCTACCTTGCACTGTTCTACTTTATTGGCAGCTTCATCCATCTCTTCCTTTAGGGTATCTATTTTGGACGGGAGGCCCTGGAATTTGTTAGCCTGGTTCCACCTGCAAAGCAAGGAGGAGGCAGTTTGTGAGAACGGGTGGTCCACAGTCAGACGGACAGAGACGGAGCCTGAAGGAGCCAGGCTCCTCCTCCACGCCGATTCCGCCCGGGAGGCATCCGATGCCAGTGCGTTCTGCATTTATTCCCTAAGAACCAAAGTTGGCAGAAAGAGACATCGGCCAGGCAAGTCTGAGACGCTCAGCTCCAAGCGAAATCTGGCTCACGCACTCCCTCTGCATGGATCGGTTTATGGAAACCCTTTCCTGGACAGTCCAGTCAGGGGATCCTGACCCAGAATCACCTTCCTGTTCTCTTGTATTTAATCTAGAATGTTCCCTGTGCCACTGGAGCCAGCTCTGCCCCCTGAGGACCTCCTCCTACCTCCTTTTGGCAGGTGGAGGCCAGAGCCCGAATCACGTAGAGGGGGACAGGTGGGCCTGAAGGTCTCCAGCTCAATGGGCTTCATCACCACAGCATGGTCCCCCAGAGCACAGAGGTGAGCAGCCCCATGAGGGCTGCCAGGCATGGTTCCAAAGGAGAGCAGAAAGGCTTAATATCCTAAAGACCACAGCGACAGCAAAACTAAAAACTATTACAGGGCATTTACGTGCCCCTAACGATGGACGGGGGCAGGGAACAAGGCTGGGGAGTTATTCACTCGCAGCAGTAGTGGCGCGTGGAGAGCAACGTTCTCCGGTAACTTCTGCTTGGGCCATGGATGGAGCTGAGCAGCAGAGCACTTGTTTTGCATGTGGGGGGCCCTGGGTTTAATCACAAGCACCAAAAAAAGAAAAAAAATGTAAGAACTACTTGGTTTTCACATGCACGTTGTTCTCGTGTTTGCATAAGATATCCACTACGGTGGAAAGTTCTACTACTTTAATTTTACTTGTTTATTTCTTGGAGTGGAAGCATAGCCAGCAGTGCTCAGGGATCACTCCTGGTGATGCTCAGGATCCCACTCTGGTGCCAGGAATTGAACCCAAGTCAACCGTATGCAAGGCAGGTGCTTTACCGCCCGGTACGGTCTCTCCAGCCCTGTGGTGCCTTTAAGTTCAAATGCGGGAGTCACAGAGATGCTGCCTGGAGTCCCAGGTCAGTGGTTTAAAGGTTTCCCAGACTGTGCTCCTGGCTCCAGAAGGTTCTGCCCTGCTCTGTGGCTTCCCATTCCCCAGGCCCTGCACTCCCTGCCACAGTCTGGCTTCTGCATGGCCCATGATATATTACAGAGAGCACAGACTTCAGAGCCCGACAGATGCAAGCTCAAAGCTCTCCGTTCCTGCACTGAACCCGTGCCCAGCTGCCTCAGCGGGAACTGAGAGAACATTGTGCACTCATGTGCATGTGTGTGTGTGCATGAGTGCGTGTGTGTGTGCATGCATGCACATGTGCACGGGCAACTGTCCTAGGGGCATAGGAGAGAATGCATATGTGAGTGCATATATATATGTGTGTGTGTGTATGTGCTAGTGCATATTGTGAGTGTGTGTGCATGTGTGACTACATGTGTGAGTGCGTGTGCCTGTGCAAAGGTGAGTATATGCGCACATGAGTGCATGTGTGTACGCTAATGCTTGCATTTCTGAGTACATGTGCATGTATGTTAGTGTGTGTGTGTGTGTGTGTGTGTGTGTGTGTGTGTGTGTGTACACATTCTGCCTGGCATCCCCTGGATTTTCCTGATGAACGTCTCCATCTCCCTGACTCTTCTGAGACCAGGGAGGAAGGCACTTGGGTTCCCAGTACAGTGCCCTCAAGGTCGAGCAGAGGTCGGGGGCCTGCCCTGGGACACTCCGGACAGGTCAGGACACCCAGGCCCCAGCCGGCAGTCCCCAGGCAGAGCGAAGGCTGGGCCCTGACCTGAGACAGACATATGGACTGGTCAGAGGACTCCCAGATACCCGCTGGCAGTCCCCCCCAAGATGCTTCTTTGACCTCACCAAGTTCCTTCCTTTCAGGGGGCTGGGAGGGGGAAGAGGGCGGTGCTGGGGCCACACTAAGCAATGCCCAGAGGTGACCCCCAGCTCTGTGTTCTGGACCGACTCCTGGCGGTGCCCAAGGACTTGCAGCCCGGCCAGCCCTGCACTGGGTCTCGCTTTGAAAGGAGGAGAAAAGGAGGACTTCTCCGCCTGGAAGCCTGGTCACGGCCACACAGGCAGCTGGCGGGACGGGACCCTCCAGAGCTGCTGAGACCCCGATTCTCAAAGTGGTAGTCTGAGCACAGTATGCTGCCCCCTCTCTCGGGCGGCTCTGTCTCCTTTCCCAGGGGGCCCACTAAGAACAGAACAGCCTCATATCAGCCCCAGCAGTCGCATTCGGGAGCAAGGGGTCTGAGAGCAGGTGACAACGTCAGGCCATGTCAGGCTCCTTCTGCCATCGCTCCGGAGGTGCGGGGAAGCTTCCGGTGCCCTTACCTGGCCCTGACTGAGTCCCAGTCCAGCACCAATTTGGCGAGCTGTTTCCTCTGTTTTTGGATGTTGGGAATATCCACCTGGAAAGACAGGATGAGGGGCTGGAGTGATAGCACAGCGGGGAGGACGTTTGCCTTGCACGCAGCCGACCTGGGTTCTATTCCCAGCATCCCATATGGTCCCCCAAGCACTGCCAGGAGTAATTCCTAAGTACATGACCCAAGAGTAATCCCTGTGCATTGCTGGGTGTGACCCAAAAAAGCAAAAAAAAAAAAAAAAAAAAAAGGATCAGTTCTGGGGTCTCGGTGTAATGCCAACAGGTGAAGGTGGAAGGACAAGGTCCTTTCTCTCACGTAGAGGAGTTTGTACCTCGACTTACAGCCCTCGTTTCCAAAAAAGGAAGCCAGTATCCATGCCAGAGGGGATACGGTGCGTTTGAACACAGGAGGACCACTCACCCCGACCCCCAGCCTGCCAACCACCCACCTCTGCGATGACATACAGAGGGTCCACGATCTCCTTTTCCACGAAGACCTCATGCTGAGAAAGTTCTAGAGCCAGCTGGTTCTCAGCCTCTCCACACGTCTCCAGCATCTTCCTTTGAAAAGAAAACACCCCAGACGCAAAGATGGGCTCACGGTGTGAGCCGAGAAAGAGCCTCACATGCACCATGACAGGCTGCATTTCAGCAAAACAAGCAGTAGGCCTAAGTTTCTGTTTCCCCCTCTCCGCGTCAAAGAATTCCCTGAGACTGTCCTTGACCAAAGCTAGAACTCCCCTAGACGCCTCTAGCCAGGCCTATGATAAGTAGGATATCTCTGGGCACAGCAGGTGGGCCTGACCAATGAGCTCACAGACTTGGGACTGCTTCTTCGAAATGCTTGGGCAGACTGCCAACGTGGCTCATGTAATGACATGCCAGATACTGCTCCCTGGAACTTGGGTCGGAGTTCTCGTCAAGACTCCACTGTGTGGATGAGGCTTGGACCCTGGCTCGAGCTAGCAATAAAGGTTCCTTTGCTTTTGCATTCTCACAGGTGGAACTGGTCTCTCTGTGAATGGGAAACCCAGAACCCGGGGGTAAGAATGGAATCAGGGACTGATCAAGGGCAGCCAGGTTGGGGAGTCGCATCGGGACCTTAGACGTGCTGCCGCTGTAGGGCCCCGCCCCAGACACAGATAGCTGACTCACACAGGACAGAGGAACACGGATTTGCTGGGGTCCTCCCACTGTCCACCCGCTCTCTCCACCACCACACAATGGGCATGTGATTTCATAATCCATCCCAAGACACTAATGGTAAAGGTGTGCTCCCTTGTCAGCGAGTACACCCGGACACCACCTGCTGCCCTGACAGTGAGTATACCTGGACACCACCTGCTGCCCTGTCAGGGAGTACACCCAGACACCACCTGCTGCTCTGACAGTGAGTATACCCGGATACCACCTGCTGTCCTGTAGGTGAGGACACCTGGTCACCTCCTGCTGTTGTCAGAGAGTACACCTGGACACCACCTGCTGCTCTGTCACCAAGGACACCCAGACACGGCCTGTTCATCTGTACTTCCTGCTCCCTGGTTAGCGAGTACACCCGGACACTTCCTGCTCTTTTTAGCAAGTATACCCAGACACCACCTACTTTCTGGTCAGCAAGTACACCCAGACACCTTCTGCTTCCTGGCCAGCAAACACACTGGGAATCATACAGCCTGTGACCAGGTGAGAGCAGCTATAGGCAGCGTCTCTGAAGGACTAGAAGGGCCGAGTCAGAGCACACAGATCTAATCCCGGGGCACAAAAGGGGCCTGGTGCTTCCTGCTCAGTCTTTGGCAAACAAACACGAAGCACTAATAAATCGTGAACAACTGCTTTAGCTAGTGTCCACTATGACCTATCTTTCCTCACACACACACACACACATACACACACATACACACCCCACCCTGTGGCCTGAGCCCTGCCACCACACGCCCTGCCCCTGGGCATTGCTTGGTCGGCTGGCCCTTACCCCAGGAGCGAGTCCTCCAGCTGACTCGAGGCTTCCTGCACATTCTGAGCCAGCGCCGTCAGGGGGAGTTTTTTCTGGAAGGCAGAAGGGAATTGTTATCGACACTCAACACAGTTGCTCGGTCGCTGACTTCCTCCAGGGACCGACCCATACGAGTTCGCCAGTGGGGGTTCAGATCCTGGTTTCTGGGGGAGGGGGGTGCTGGGAGGCACCTGATGCGGAGTGTGGGACCAATCCCTGGCTCTACCTGGAGTACTCTGACATCCCTGAGAATGACTCCCGAGTACTGGACTGGGCATCACCCTGTGAACTGTGGCCAAACACCAAAACCAAAGCTGTCTAAATGCTCGTCAGACTGATGTTTCTTGGAGAGTCACTGAGGGCCACACTTGGCAGTGCTCAGGGCCACTCCCAGCAGTGCTGGGAGACAGGGGGGCCAGCAAGCACACCCAGGGTCTCACCCACACGGGCCTGAACCTGCACCCCCGGCCCTTAAACTGGCTATTCCTTTGGCTGTTTTTATAGAGCCTCAACTTTCATTAAAGACTAGAAACCAACCCGATATTTAAAAAAAAATTGGAGGTGGGGGACCATACCTGGCTGTGCTCAGGGCATACTCCTGGCCGGGCTCCTGGGACCAAATGGGGTACTGGGGATCAAACCTGGGTTGGCCACATGCAAGGCAAGCCCCCTATCTGCTGTACTTTCTCTGGGCCTGCCCCCACCCCCCAATCTTGAAGGTTTTCCTTGGGGTGGGGGTTTTCCTGAGAGGTGCTCAGAGAGGGCTTGGAGAGACACCCCTGGCACTCAGCCAATAGGACAGTGGCTCCCAAGGTTCCCTGACCCCCGCTCCACCGGGGGAGCCCCCCACTACTACTGCACACACTTGCTGGGCCCCAGGGAAGGATTTCTATAAAGCGAGGCAGAAGCTGCTAATCCCGGCAGCTGGGGGCAAGGACAGGGGAAAAACTTTCACTTCATGTTCTGCGTATATTCTGGGTTTTATGAATTTGTTTATGGCTTTGGGGTCACGCCTGGCAGTGCTCAGTGCTTACTCCTGGCTCTGGGGACCATTTAGGGTGCTAAATTGGGGGTCAAACCTGAGCTGGCTGCATGTGAGTTAAGCGCCTGATCTGCTGTACTATCTCTCTGGCCCCGAGATGTCCGCTTTTTTTATTTTTGCTTTTTGGGCCACACCCGGCGATGCTCAGGGGTGCCTCCTGGCTCTGCACTCAGGAATCACCCCTGGCGGTGCTCAGGAGACCATATGGGATGCTGGGAATCAAACCCGGGTTGGCTGAGTGCAAGGCAAACACCTAACCTGCTGTGCTATCGCTCCAGCCCCCGAGATGTCCATTTTTTTTAATGGACACATGGGACTCAGTAGACAAAAGGAAAACCAAGACAGAGTGGCACAGAGGAGGGATGGGCAGAGGGGGCAGAGGGGGAAGCAGAGGAGGTAAGGGCTCGTTTGATCCCCAAGGGAGGTCATCCAACCCGGGCTCAGGGCACCAGCAGCATCACTCCAATGAGGCCCCACAGGCGTCAGGGGACACTTCCCCAGGGGACGCCGCTCTAGGCCCTACAAAGGATTTAGCAACTCGGTCCCCATGCTCCAACGCCAGTGGTGGCCCTCACTCCTTAGGATGACCAAAATCCCCCCCCCCCCCCCCAGGAACAAGAACCTGGTCTCTGCCCAAAACGCCTTAGCTAAGGGTGTGTGTTGGGCCCGAGCACGGCAGGTTCCGCGGTATTTCCGGAAACCGTCTCTGGGTCTCAGGCCCAAGGCAGGCTGGACACGGAGCCCAGGTGAGGGGACAGTCTGGGAAGGGGGCATCACTGGGCCGTGTGCGGAGGCAAAGGTGGGAGGGGGAGCAGGGTGAACACCAAAGGACCCTCACAGGGAGCACAGCACCTGCCCGCGGGGACCTCTGGGAGGGCGAGGGGGGAAGACAAGGGGGACAGGAGGACGAGAGCCCCGTTTGCCGCTGGCACCGGGATAGGATGGACAGAACTCCAGGGTCCGCCTGGAGAAGGATCTGGCCATGCATGTGACAGCCAGCTTCTCACTAGGGCAGACCATGGTCCCCCTAAGTGCCCGTGGCAGAGGCCACAGAAATGGGTCCTCGGACTAGGACTTGGAGACCCGCAAGGGCAGATGCCTGGGGAGGGCGGGGCTGGCCGGACCCGCAGAGAGCCTGCCTGGACAGGGCCGGGCACGTCCCGTCCATGCCCTCTGTCTGGGCATGCGCGGTGTCCTACACAGGGTGTGCAAGAGGCAGTGGGGGGTGGGGGCGCAGTCCTCCACCCCACCCTCACCCGCAAGCAGGGCCCTTGAGGGCACAGAGGGAGCTGCCGGGGGAGGGTTTCTGCGGGCGCCTAGTCCTCCCGCAGCCCAGCTAGCCTCCCCTGGGCAAGAGCACCCACAGGGTCTGAAACTGTGAGCTGGGGGAGAGACACTCAGGAGTCGGGGTGGGGGGGGTTGCTTTTCAGACCCCGACCCCACTTGGGCCTAAGCAGGGGATCCTCCAGCCTGCTGAGCTAGTGCTGGCCCCCAGCCCCGCAGGAATGAAGGAAAGGCTGTGGGTAGAGCGGGCGGGGCCCACCTGCACCGGCCACCAGCCCACCACCCACAGGAGGGGCCAGGGGAGGCTCCGGACTGGTAGGTGACTGGCCCAGGGCAGAGTCAGGAAGTGGACGCCCGCAGGGCACTGGAGGAGGGGCACTCTGCAGCCACGAGGGTGTCCACGGAGGGGAGGCAGTCACCAGAGGCCGGGAAATGGCTCCAAGTGCTGGGAAGGCAGGTCCACCCCTGCACTGCGGAGTCCTCGGCTCACCCACTGGGAGAGAGGAGAGAGAGCGGGAGAGAGGGAGGGAGAGAGGGAGGGAGGGGGAAGGGAGGGAAGGAGGGAGGGAGAGAGGCAGGGAAAAGGAAAGAGAGGGAGAGGGGGAGAGAGAAAAACGGAGAGGGAGAGAGGAAGAGAAGTGGAGAGAGGGAGGAAGGGAGGGAGAGAAAGGAGAGCGGGAGAGAGGGAGGGAGAGAGGGAGGAAGGGAGAAAAACAGAGGGAGAGGGAGGGAGGGAGGGAGAGAGAGGGAGAGAGAAAGGGAGAGATGGCAGCGAGAGGACAGGCGAGGAGAGAGGAGGAGAGAATGTGGGCTTCTTGGTTCCTTTTCCCAGGGAGGTGCCCCAAGCCCGGTGCCTTCATCCCTGCTTCCGGGCGAGTGTGTCAACAAGCCCCCGCACTATCTCAGCTGACACAGGATCCGGGCTCTCGGGTTTCCTGTCCCAGGACTCCTAACCTGCCCTGCTCTTATCAGCACCAGTCTCCAACAGCCCCTGGAGACAATTCGGTCGGAGCAGGGCCTCAACTCGGCACAAAGGAATGCTCCGGGCAGCTGCTGGGAAGGGGGTGAGAAGACCCACACCTGCCCAGCGGGGGACCCCGGGCCAGGCAGGAGCCTGGTGTCGGGGAATGCTGGGGCCTCCTCGGAGGAGGCGGCCGCGGCACTCACGTGTCTCCGCTCAGCATCGGCGCCGTGCTGGCCCTGGAAACAGGCGACGAGGCGCTTGTGGGACTGGTGGCACATGGAGCGCACAGTGTCCAGGCGCCGCTCGATCTGGGGAGAGACAGAGGCCGGTCTGCAGGGAAGCAAAGCAGTGGGAGCAGAGCCTGGCTCCCTTCCCCGTGCGGACAGCGGCACACCCCAGGGAGGGGACAGGCCCCTGGCTGAGAAGCTCCAGGGCAGGGGGAGGCCTTAGAGGGCACCCATGGGGGCAGTGGGTGGCCGACACCTGCTGGCTGGCCGGGCGAGGGTGGCAGCAGCAAAGCCTCACAGGCCACCAGCAGAAGCCCAGCCCCAGGGGGCAGGAGACACTTCCCAGGCACAGAGCACACCGGGCAGAGGCTGGGACGCCGGGGCCAAGGGCCCCCATGCACTCAGCATCAGTGTCCTCACAGGATGAGTGGGCACAGTCAGGTGCGCCCGGCCTTCCTGAAGGCCATCACTGGGCGCTTGATAAAGGTCTCTACATGCTCTCTCTCTCTCTCTCTCTCTCTCTCTCTCTCTCTCTCTCTCTCTCTCTCATGGAATCACTGTGAGATACAGTTACAAAGCTTTCATGTTGGAGTTTCGGTCATACAATGATCAAACACTCATCCCTTCAACCGAGCACATTTTCTGCCACCCAAACCACCAATATCCCCCCCTCCCTCCGCCCCATCCCAACCCTTCCCCTGCCCGTGTGGCAGACAATTTCCATAATTCTCTCTCTCTCTCTCTCTCTCTCTCTCTCTCTCTCTCTCTCTCTCTCTCTCTCTCTCCTTTGATTACATTCAATATTTAGACTCCAGTCCCACCCTTATGATTTGGAATTTTCTCGCCACCACTCAAACCTGCCGAAAAAGCGGTGCTGATTAGGATAGGCTTAACACCCTCTTGAGTTTAGGATAGGTTTCACACACACACACACACACACACACACACACACACACACACACACACACCAGTGTTTTTTTAAAAATGATTCCTTAGTGGACTGGGGGTGGATTTTTGTTTTTCCTAAGTCAACCTCTACAGCAAAATGAAGGGAAACCCTGACTTGGGGGACACCCGCCCACCTCACACTTCAGCTTTCCCAGATATCACTGCTGGGGCCGGGTCAGCCGCTCACGGCACAGGAAGGAATGTGGAGAATGCAGATTCTGATGACTCATGAAGGCTGAGTCCCTTGGGGATGCTTTCTATTTTAAAGAAAAATCAACAAAGCCCAAGCCGCAGCAGACAGAGCTGCCCCCAAGCCTGCCACCCCAGGGGGGCCCCTTGCTCTGAAGTCCGAAGCCTCACCTGGCCCCGTCCTTCCCTCCCGGCCCCCTGGGGGCAGAGAGAGGCCACCACAGTCAGGGACAGACTGAGAGAACCTCCCTTTGTCTCCATGTCTGGGGCGCTCGAGCTCCTCTGGTTGGAGCATCCATCCACAGGGAGAGGGCCCGGGCTGCTCCTCCCGACTGGCTTTGGAAAAACAACAGTGGCTAAGAGCTCCTGGGATGCGGCCTTCCTGGGTGAGCTCACCAGGGCCACGGTGCAAGGCAGCAGCCTCCCTTGGGGGGCTCCGAACAGGCAAAGGTGGGAGAACGCTCCCCCCCCGGGGGGGGGGGGGAAGGGCAGTTCCCCCGCCCCCGCTCTCCGGTCGCACCAGACACCAGATGTCCAGGCAGGCTGTGTTCTTGTCCATGCTGGGCACGCAGGGGCCACCCAGGCAGGCTCAGGATGACCACTGCTCACAATCCCATTGGAGGGTGGGGAACAAGGCGGCTGGGGTCGGGGATGGGGCAGCAATTCCCAAGGCTTTTTTGTTTTTTTTTTCTTTTTGGGTCACATCCAGGGATGCTCAGCCGGACTCCTGGCTCTGTACTCAGGAATTACTCCTGGTGGTGTGGGGGGCCCTATGGGATGCTGGGAATCGAACCTGGATAGGCCACATGCAAGGCAAATGCCCTGCCCGCTGTGCTATCGCTCCAGCCCCAATTCCCAAGGGTTCAGTGCATGGGGGTGGGGACATGGGGGGCTGCAGGGGACTGTGGACCTAGGACTTGAACCCGGGTAGCTGCACCCTAGACTTTGCCCCCATCATCACCCTTCTCCTGCTCTGCAGGTAGGAAGGACAGACATCCTAGCAGGAAAGGCCGAGAAGAAGCCTACCTAGGAAGCAAGTCCCTGCACGCTGGCCGGCCAACCCTGCTGGCCCTCAGGCCCTGAGCACAGAAGGGTCCAGCTTGCAGGAGCTGTCTCCGACACCTGCTGGCCAGGCCTTCTGCCTGCTCTTGGGCCTCATGGGGTCAAGGATTCCTGGTGCGGGGAGGGAGGACACTCACATGAAAAATGTGTGGGGCTGGAGCGATAGCACAGCGGGGAGGGCGTTTGCCTTGCACATGGCCAACACGGGTTTCATTCCCGACATCCCATAGAGTCCCCTGAGCACTGCCAGGAGTAATTCCTGAGTGCATGAGCCAGGAGGAACCCTTGGCATCGCCAGGTATGGCCCAAAAGCCAAAAAAAAAAAGTGTGTGCATGTGTGTTTCTGTGTGTGTATGTGTGTGCATGTGTGCACGTACATATGTGTGAGGATGTGTGAGTGTGCTGTTGGGTCAAACAGCATTTCTGAAAAGATGGAAAGTTCATCTAAAATATTTTTTTTAAATGGCGGGAAAAGGTGAGACTTTAAAAAATAAAGAAAAAGAAAAACATCTCTAAAAAAAAATCAAAATCTTCCAGTCCCTAGCAAAACACTCAGAGTGAAGAATGAAAGTGTTCTTCAGCTACTCTGCTGGGCAAAGCGTGTTATCATTTGGGGTGTCCCTGGCCTGGAGTCGGGGAGCGCCTTTTCCGTAACGGATGCCAGCTCCTTCTTGTGCCAGGAGTAGACAGAAAGGGGGGGGGGTGCTGTGGGCAAGAGCCAGGCAGGTGAACAGGGGGTCCTGACTGCAGGGGAAGTTGGGGAAGGGGGAGGCAAAGGGGTCTGGGGCCCTCTAGGAAGCCCCCCCCCCCGGACACCTAGGGGAGTCGGGAGGGGGGCAGGAAACACCTTTTGGTACAGGGAGGACAGAACGTCTCTGACCCGAGGTCACCCCAAGGCCTCCAGACAGACAGATTCTGGCTGCTGTCACTGGAACGTTAAGTCCTTGAGGGCCCAACTCAGAGACGGAGGAGGAGGGCCAGGAGTGGGGGAGGGAGAGGACAGAAGCGTCTGGAGGTAGCAGACGCGAGGGCTGCAGAGGGCATCGCCAGGGAGCCCAGCCCAGGCCCAGCCCACACGTACCCCAACGCCTGCCCTCGAGCCTCAGAACATGACACCAAAGGTCTGGTGGCCCCTTTCAGCAGCCCCGGACGCCCCAGCTGCTCTGATGCTCAGAAGCACATGGACGTGCTTGTCTCCTCTGCGACCGCCAGGTAACGGTGTCCACTCCCGCCCCATGCAGCCTGGTCCCTGAGTTCCCAGGCCTGGGCCCAGGGCAGCGGGCAGAGACGCCCTTACCTGTAACAGGTCATCACTGAGGACTTCCGTTTTCTCAGCTCTGTGGGGGAGAGGAGAAGTTGAGAGTTAGAGACCCGGGCATGGAAGGCGCCCCACGAGTCCCTTCACCACTAACCCCTCCCCTGCCTCCCGGGGTCCCGGCACACCCCGACAGAGTCTGCAGACTCAGTCTCACACTGGGCCAGCGCAGCTCTCCCGGGGGGCGCCCTGAGAACACAGACCCTGTGACGGAGAAGCCCCTCCCTGCCCAGACCTGCAGCCCAGATGGCCACAAGCTGCTCAAGCATGAGCTAGGAAGATTCTGGCTTTCATGGACCCGGGCATGTGGCCCCCTGGAACGGTCAGGTCCATTCCCGTCCCCCCGAGCGTGACCGTCCCAGGGCACCAAGGCCAAGTGGGTGCAACCGGCCACCCTTGGCACAGTCATGAGTGTGAGGCCTCCATGCCCACGACGCCAACAGCAGAGAGAGGTCGGGCCTCCCTGCCTCAGGAAACAAGGCACAGCGACACACAACAGACAACACAGAATGGCCTGCCTCCCGATTCCGTGCCTCCACTTTCTTTTGAATTATTTATTGATTTTTAATTTCTGCCAAAAGCCGCTGGGTTCCATCTGAGTTTTGTTTCTGAGTCTCTGGGATCATGGCTCGATCAGCACCAGAGGGCTCGTTCATGGGCAGCAACTCGGGGTCTCCTGGGGGGGGCTGCCTCCGCCCCCATCCCATGAGGCCCCTCATTCCTCATTGGCGACCAAGCCGCCAGGGAAAACAGGCCAAGTTGTGCCTCCACTTTAAACCAGAACCTTCCCTGACCGGCGGCTGACTGCCCGCTTTCCCCTTCCAGAAAGCCTGCACAGCCCCCGCGCTCAGAGGTCAGCAAGAGAGGCTGGGGGGTGAGAGGTGAGGGTGGCCAGGGCACCAGACTCCACACAAGGGTCCCTCTCCTGCTCCGGTGGCCTCCGGCTATGGACCCACAGCAAGCGGAATGCCACACGGGATGCGCAGGGCGAGAGGGGATGCGCAAGCCCCCCAACATCCCCAGCGCCGGGAGCAAGAGCCTGGCAGGAAGGCGGGAATGACGGCTTCCAGCCGGAACACGGAGGAAAGGGGGACGGCAACAGCCAAGAATGGGAAACGCCAAAGCCTTTCGCAAAGCTGCCACCCGCGTAGCATGGAAGGTCGCGTGTTTTGCGGTGTGAGAAACCCAAGCCCCGTGGCCCGAAAGTGGATGCACACCCCAGAGTCCCCAGATGCTGCTGAGATTGGCAGCCACCCGGGGCAACATGGGGTGCACCCAGCTGATGCTCCGGCCAGAGATAGGGCAAAAGTGATAGCACAGAGGGGAGGGTGTTGGCCTTGCACGCGGCCGACCCAGGTTCAACCCCCGGCATCCCACAGGGTCCCCCGAGCACCAACAGGAGTAATTCCTGAGTGCAGAACCAGGAGGAACCCCTGAGCATCGCTGGGTGTGACCCAAAAAGCAAAAAACAAAAAAAAAATTCTGGCCAGAGAGAGAGAGAGAGAGAGGAGAGAGTTGGGAGCCATATGGCGGAGCCCCCAAGGACATGGAGACCCATGGGAGTGGCCATTCTTGGTGCCCTACAGAGAGCAGACAGGGACTGACTCCATCTTCCAGGTCTGCAGGAGGAGGCCAGGGCCTCAGCCGGAAACCCTGTGAACAAGTTCTGCAAGAAGCGGCCACCAGTTTGCCATCTGGTCCTTGCCAGGGACACAGGGTGGCAGGCAGTGCCAAGGTACCAAGCCCCTGCCGCAGGCTGAGCGGGACCTGCTGGAGGGCTGAGTGGGGCCATGCCGGGCACAAAAGGGCCCTTGAGTGAGCGAAGCTCCCTGTGGGGAGACGTGGCTGCACCCTCCACTCTGTGTTTTGGTTTTGGGTCCACTTGGTGATGCTCAGGGGTTCCTCCTGGCTCTGCACTAGGGGATCACTCATGTAGGTGCTCGGGGGACCCTATGAGATGCCGGGGATTGGACGTGGGCTGGCCGTGTGCAAGGGAAAGGCTCTACCCACTGTACTATCATTCTGGCCCTTGTACCCTCTTCTCTGGACGCACCCATGCTCTCCCCACCCTACCCCCGCAAGCCCCCAGGATGCAGAGAGAAACTTCCGAAAGCCCATTAAAAGAGGTCACAGTTTCAGAAGATTTAGGGATTGGAGCTGGTGCCGCTGTTGTGGAAAAACGAACAAGCAAACAAGCCACATTCTATTTTACTGAGGTGATATGGGTCATAACACTGTGTGCGGAGGGAGGGGCACACACCACCTCAAAGGTATGGTGCCATCCGCAAGGTTCCCGTGACCCTCCAGCCCTCCACCCCAAGGGACCCCCTTCCCCAGGGTTCGTGTTCCTACCCTCTCTAGCAACAACCCTCTTCTGTTCACAAAATCCAATGGGTCTTATTTCTGGCTTCTTCGTTTGCTTGAAGCCATTGTTTTCTGGCTTATTACTCATTTGCTGGAAAGAATAAATTGCTTGAAATTGTTGGTCAAAGGTAACTGAAGGAGAGGAAAGTTGTGCTAGCAGCCCAGTGGGGGCTGTTAGCGAGTCCAGGAGCATTGGTTAATCGCTCAGGGGGTGCTGGCTAGGCCCGAGAGAACCTTCTTTCCCCAGTAATTGGTTGCCCGCGCTCTCCCACTGGTAACTTGAAATAAGAAGTCAAATACAACACAAACAACATACACACACTATATATAATATATATAATTTATATATATGACAGATAGATAATTTATATATAACATATATGATAGATAGATAATTTATATATATACTTTATATGTATATGAACGTTGCAAATGAGTTGTTAGATATCTCTCGATAGAACACAAAGAAAATGAAGCAACTGGGGCGGACGCCAAGGGATATAGCTCAAAAGTAGTGCAAATGCAAGACCCCAACACCCAGCAGCACCTGCTCCCCACCTCTGCACTGCCAGGTGTAGCCCTGGGCACCAGCAGGAGACCTGGGCACACCCCACTCCCACCTCATAATACCAACAAGGTGGTATTTTACTTTAAAACAACAACAACAAAACCAGGAGCTGGAGCTACGGTTCAAGGGTACAGTGCTTGCCTCGCACACGGCTGACCCAGTTTGATCCTCGGCATCATAGTCCCCCCCCACCCTGCCCTCACTCTCCTGGAGCCCTCCAGGAATAATTCCTGAGAGCAGAACCAGAAGTAACTGAGCCACACTGGGTGTGCCCCCACAAAAAAACAAACACCCAGACAACTCATCAACGGGCATAGCACATTCCCAGGCACAGCTATCGACTGCCTGGATAAAATAAGGAAACTACTGACCAGCTCCATAGCCACAGAGCACCCTGGGCGGTACAGAAGGGTTACATGAGAGGCCTACACCCTCGTTTATCTGAACAGGAAGTCGGCAGGTGATGCCGCAACTCGGAACTCCAAGGATGGTGGGGGCGCATGACTCGTAATTGCAGATCTGAGCATGTGCCAGAGCAAAGGGCTAAAGCGTGGAAGTAGCTGCCGCTGGGCCGTATCAAGGGAGAGGGCTGGGGGAGGGAAGCTGCCGCCCGCGTGCTGAGCCTCTCACTGTGATCTGACGCTTTACACACACTGCAACATCAAAACACACTTAAAGGGAAAAAAAACCCAAAACGTCCTTTTCTTTTGTTTTTGGGCCACACCCAGCTGTGCTCGGGGATTACTCCTAGCTCTGTGCTCAGGGACCACGACTGGGGGTGCTCAGGGGCCACGTGTGGTATTGGGGATGCCTTTCTTGATTATCTGTTCACAGACCATTTTCGCATCTTAGATGTCTGAATAATGCTGAGATGCACATGAGGATGTGAACGGTGTTTCCTTTGGGTAGATAACTCAGAAGAGGCGTGACTGTGCCTTTTTTTCCCAATAAAGTAGTTCACAATATTTCATTACATTTAATATTCAAACACTAATCCCACCAACATTACACCTTCCCACCACCGTATTTCAGACGTTTCCATCCCGAACCCCAATCCCTGCCCTGGACTGGGCCTTAAGGTAGCTGTTTTCTTGCCGTTGTTGAGGACACCCCATGCAACTGTGGACAGAGCTATACCAACTACAGGCCCAGCCAGAGCAGACCTGGGTATTTCTCCAGGTGCTTTCCAACCTCTGTTATCTCCTTCTTGCCTTTTTGATAAAAGGCTGAGGCGACCGCTCAAGGCTCTGTGCATTTTCATTCCCCCTAATGATAAGTGTCCTGTTGGCAAGTATTTATAGGTCTTCTCCAGGGAGGGAAAATCTTCCAGCTGGAAGTACAGTTCAAGTTCATTTTGGTGAGCAGAGGCCCCTTGATGGCCAAAAGTGCCCAAATGAGCGCCTAGGCGAGAGGGAACACCTCTGGTTTTAGAAGGGCACTGCAAATCCAACTGCAACCAACTGCACCAACACAGGCCCCTGCCCCCGCAGGTATAAAGGGATGGGGGGGGGGGGGGATGGCCTCCAGGCCACCAGTTAATTTCCCCTTTCACAGTGCATTGAACCCGTAACTCAGCCTCCTAGACCGAACTCTTACAAGGGCAGCCTGGCTATCCCAACCACATTCGGCCCATAGTCTATTAGCCTATTCTTATAAAAATATCCCCCTAACTCACCAAAATCACGGTGACCACAGAATCTGTGCAAGCCCGATCTAAAAAAAACACGTCCCATGAATCAGCATAAGAGGACCCACAAAAGTCACACAGGAGCACCAAAGAGGAAGGAATTATCCTCGGAAGGGAGAGAGGAGACCACCATCGACCGAGCTTGCCCGGGGTTCTTCCTGGCGGTGAGAGGGGGACACTGGGAGTGAACCCGAGGGATCCACCCCCAGACCCTCACAGCATCACGGGGAAACAGCGCAGACCCCAGCCATGAGGAGTGGATGAGGAAAAGAGCCCTGAAGCCTCGGCGGGGAATACCCACACATACACAACCTCTCTGATACAGAATTCAGAGATGAGACAGTGAGGATGTTTAATGACCTCAAAGGGATAGTGGGACGGA